TGGTCCCCCTCACAGTAAAAAAAGTGTTTCCTGATGTTCAGTTTGTGCTCCCTACCTTTGGTCTTTTCCTTCCCTGCATAGCATTATCCTGTGACAGAGAATAACCTTTGCTGGAGTTATTTCCTCTCCTGCAGAGATTCCTGGCAACTGGGATAAAAAAAAAAACAGTGAGAGCAGGTAGAACTGTTGAGGTGAAGGTTTACACTGATATCTGAGGAAGATTGGGAAAAGAGGAAGGTGAATTGTCTGYTGCTGAATAAAGATTTAGATCAGGAACTTACTGTTCTTGTTGAAGTTGTGCAATATTCTGAAGAACAGAAAAAGCCCTGAAACAGTTCTTGAACTTGAAGGCCCCCAAATGATCATAATCTTACTGCATAAAATAGGATTTTAGCACATGACCATGAATCACACAGATTTTCTGATGTGTGTGAGCTGTTTGATGAATAATCTAAGCTTGTCTCTTTCTTGTCTCATCCTTTGTGTCAGAATCTGTTCTTATTGAGTAAAACTAAGCAGAAATAAGCACTTGTATGCAAACCATTGCAGGAGRTGCCAGTTTTCTTGTCTTTCCTGGTAATCTCTGTCAAGCAGTAGAGTCTTGAATAGTTCCTGGAGGCCTAAAAAATAAAATTGGTATGTTCTTCTGGGTTGATGTTAACTATTTAGTCAAAGGATCTGTTGCTAACTGTTATGAATCCTCTTCAAATAGGGAAAATGAAGGGATTCTATATCTCTTTTTTTTTTTCTCTTTTGCTTATCAGGATAAAAAAAGGACAGATATTCATGTGTTTGTGTATATTTATATATATATATATAGATATGTGTTTATAAGGTATATGTGCACTGAAGTCCACTGCTAACAATTCAGTTCTGCAAAGAAGAACCTTGGTTCCATGAAAGCCTGCCATGAAATCAACCTCTACCAAGCTATGGAACTGCATGGTTTTCTCAATACTCCAAAAATCCCTCTGCTTCTTCAGCCTGTGTTCTTTATTAAGGCTCAGGCACAATTTAACGATACAAATTCTGAGTCATATATAGACTTGCCAATTTGCATTAATAGCTTGAAGAATCATTGAGAGCTACTCATTTTCTCCAATTAGACAGTAAATCAGTGAATGTAGTRGAAAGAATGGAATATGAAATATACTCTGTGTAGTGATAATTTATCATTCTGACTTTATGTTATAGCAATAAACATCTTGCAATGCACATTTGTAGGGTAATGAAATTGGAGTATTCTGTCCTCACCACAAATACTCTGATGAAACCATTGTTTGGAAATGAATGTTATATATCATTACACAATTAATTTTGATTTTTCAGATGATGCACCAAATCTAAACATACAGACATAACATGATTACACAGCTGGGCTTTACAAGAAAGAAAAATATAGTGCATTTCTCTTTTTCCAGGACACAGGTGGTATTCTTCCTCTAATTCTGGACAGTGTGGAATCATGAACTGAAGGGAAATTTATTGAAATAAAAAGTGCCCAGAACTGGCCTGATAAACTTGCTGAGTGCCTTTCCACGTGCTAAGGTCTGTCTCCCTTGCACTATGGCCCTGGAGAATAATTTCCCRGTATGCCATGGATGCAGTAGAAGACACTTTGAGACAGTGAAATAAATGTCAAGGGAAAACATGTTTTCTCTAATTTGGGGACATACGGGATTTTGAGTTTGGAAATATCTCTGGAAGCAGAGCAGAGAACTCAAATATTGGTGTATAGCCCTTGCCAGCTAAAAGATGAGAAACTGAGAGGGGGATTTTAGATTAACAAAAGGACGGGAAATGAAGGGAAAGATCTGCTTTTATGTGGGCATTTGAATTCAGCTGAAGGACTGGCTGAGAGAGAGAAACTCWCTGTGGAGGAGACAGACAGACCCATCACAGAAACCATGTGGGGTGGGAGGAGAATGGAACACTGGGGTCCAGTGGCCAGGGGAGAAGGAAGAGCTCCAGCAGGGCTAGAACATAATCCCACTGGGCACAGCTCTGCTGAGGAGAGCAGGCATATTRGGAATCCTAAAATAGGACTTTCCTGGCCAAGGGCCAGGGTTATTGCAGTTGGGGACACTGCAATTAGAAGCTCTGAAACCAGAGCTTCACTGAAAGCAGACTGAGAGAGCAGACTTCTCCCTGCCAGGCAGACAAAATCAGGCTTGACCTTGCCAGGGGGAGAAATTCAGGGGAATCTTTTCCAGCGTGTCTGGTAAAGGCGGTTTTGCATCTACATCTTAACATGTTGTAATTCCCTAAATGAGACAGACTTCAACAAAATATATACAGCAGTTTTAGACTACATAAAGCCTGAAGGAAAGCAAAGAAACTTATGATTTTATGTGTAAGAATTTTCTTTCCCCTAATTACTGTAGTTTCAGGTGTGATTATAGCACAGATATGACASAATGGGCTCTCTTCTGGACCTCTGTGTAGAAAAACATTTCGTTTTTCTTGGTATTAAAAGGTCACAAAGTCATGTATGCATTGTTTATAGTCTCCTAATCCAGGATTTATTGTCCTAGTTCTGTTCCAGAACCAKGGACTTGAGTTGATTAAAAAAATTAGATTCTTCAAAGCTTTTAAGCAAATTGATTTACTGTGCCTTGAAAATTGTCATATTCACCCAATTTAAYGTGTGTGATCTTTGTAATATTCTGAGCTAGAAGGATTGTACACATGGTAGGTATTACSTTTGAAAGATTAGACTTTACCGTTAAAATGCTTATGAGGTGAGTGGAAAATTACTGTTTGTTATCCCTTGTAGTTTGCCTCATTGGTTCTTTCCGGAATGGGAAGGAGAGCTGGAACAGTGAGCCAGCTCGGTTACCTGCAGCTTTCTCTGTGCTGTTCCCTGCAGCTGCAATGGAATAGAGCCCAGAGTCTTCCTAATGCCCTCTGCCAGCTCATGCCTCTGCCTGGCAATCCCCTGCACCTTCCCAGTTATTTGGTGAACAGCATTCCTTCATTTGATGTTGTGGTGGGATCTCTTATCTCCCCCTCCCAGCTAAAGGGAGCAGTCAGGAGCCCAGAGGTGCTGAGTCCCCAGCTCCTGCTCCAGGGAGACATGGGAGAGGCTGGCTCTGTGCTTCCAGTTTGCTGCCTGGTTTTAGCAGTGATTTGGGAGGAGGAAAGCTGCCCCTCAGCCTGACCTTATTGTTAAGAGGCTTTTCTTGATGTCTAACCTGAATTTTCCCTCCAGTGGCCTTGTAAACTCTGGTGGTTTTTTTCAGTCATCATGATCACGCAGAACAGATCTTTACCTTCCCCTTTAAAGACTGTTTTCCTTCACTTTGCCCTTTCCAGCCAGAACACCACTGTTTATTAGCCTTTTCTCAAATAAAGCTTGCTTCCCTGAGGAGATACATTTTTATGCCAGTGGAAGGATTGTCTTTATTACAGCAGAATGAGCTCCTTGACCAGTGAYCCTTTGGAAGACTTCTGTGACCTTCAGGCCTTTTCTGCAGAATTTTTCTCTAACTTGTCATTCCCTGTGTGCATAATTTATTTTTCCTGCAGTAGTGGAAAAACTTGTATTTGTTCATACTAAATTATCTTTCCAGCTCTCTTTTCCATGGTTTCAAATTATGATCCTGTGGTGTGGCAGACTAGCAGACTATGTTGGTCATGCTTTCTGTGACTGATAATGAGAATCTGATAAATAAGAATTTAAATTCYGTGTTCCAAGATTGTTAATRGGAAWGCCAGAATATTATGCAAAGCATTRGAAGACTTGCTACAACATATATGAYAGAWATCCAAYATATATGACACCCACGACATAAATTATTTTTATTGCCTGAGCAGTCTTCTGCATTTGTGGACACAGAGGGGGGTTATAGASACATCAGTTCTACAATCTCTGTATTTTCTAATGACTGAAAAATGAGCTTTCATTTCATTAGGAAATCATTGGAATRTTTCCACTGCAGGTTTCCTAGAAAGATAATATTGTCTTCTCTCAAACAAGGTTTTTAGTTATCACAGTACTTGTATTAATTTTGATTGTTTGTGTGCATGCAYGACCCTGTTATTCATTGTGACAGCATAAAAGATAATAAAAAACCAAATAAATTGCATGTTTGTAGTCTGGTTTATGTCTTTGTTTTCTAATTAAAAGTGACATTTCAAGCAAGAAATGTAGTTGATTATGTCCTCTTATATGGTAATCTAGAAAATATTGTAAAATTTTCTAAGCTATTTTAAGAAATCCTGGAAACTCTTAAAAGTAAAGTATTTATCAGGTAGACATCTCACCTCCATGCCTTTCTTTCATCAGGATTTTGTTGGTAATTAATTACAATTGTTCACATTAAAATACCTAAATGTGATGAAAGAACTTGCATTTCTAATGTAGGTTGATTGACTTAGAATAATATTTTTTATTACTGTTGTATCCAGAGCAAATTATTTGAATAAATTTAGGTCATTTGAATGTATGTTTTAAATTAAATCATAGCTGAACCTGCTGTATGGTCAGAAATGCATTTGTTTCTTTGCAAGGCTGAGTTCCTTTATGCTGGATGATTTGCAATGTTTTATGTATTGCGAAATTCTATGTAGCAAGTTAAGCCTTTGCCATCTCTACTGAGCTTGTCAGAAGGTATGGACTTCATGGTCTCCAGGGGATGACGTCTTTGGTTAAGTAAATGTAATAAACCARGGAAACTCCTGCTTTCCTGTCAGCTTTCATAAAACTTTATTGCCAGCTTTACATCCCTGAGCACTATAGCAAGGAATAGCTGTATTAATAATTAGTGTGTCTATTGCTTCCTTAAAAWATGTCAGAAGGAAAGGAGTATGAAAGCATGGAGAGTTCTGTGGGTTTAAATGGCATTGAACATGACTGTATTAAGTGAAAAATACAAGGTTGTTCTTCTTAGGTTCAGTTACTAAAACACAAATGCATTTTTAGCTGTGTGTTTATTTGTGATTCATTATTGGTACATATCCTTTCCACATGACATTGTTTTCTCCTGTGTTCTTCCCAGAATGGCTTTACTCCCTTGTACATGGCAGCTCAAGAGAACCACATTGAGGTGGTCAAATATCTCCTGGAGAATGGAGCCAACCAAAGCACAGCTACTGAGGTGAGGGGGTTTCCTCTTTTTTAATTTTTTTTGCCTTTGTGTCACTTGAAGTCAGGACAGTGTGGGCTGTGTCCACAGGGCTTGGCTGTGTCAATTGGTATCAACAGGTAGTTGTTAACAACAAACTTCCTTTTAGAATCACAGAGTGGTTTAGGTTGGAAAGGACCTCTAACATCAYTGAGTCCAAGCATTAACCCAGCATCTGGGTCTTGGGATTTTAGTTGACTTCAGAAGTGATGAGGCTCTGTGGTGCTGGGCTGGGTTCACAGAACCATTCAGGAAAAGTCACCTACTCCAGCCTCCTGCTGCTCTTCCCCTAAGTTACACTGATTCTGAGGCTCTCCTTGGTGTAACATGTGAGTATTTATTATTGTCTGTGACCAGTATGAACTGGAAACCAAATGACTAACGAGGATTGCATCAATGAGCTGGCAGGCAATGTGCTGTTTTCTCCATGGACACTCTTTTTCTATTTCTGGATCATGTGGGTGTAAATAGGCAGAAGGACGGGATTAATTGGGGATCTGGATTGTAAACCCGCAGTAACTTCTGTGCAAGCAGGGCAGACACCTAAGTTGGAGAGATGAGACTCCTTCTCAAGAGGAACTGAATTCCACAGGCTCCCTTCTGCACTTTGAGAGGGCTTAGGGGCAATGGGGAAAAATCTTTGGTCATTAGGACTGTGCTTATTCTGTTCCCTCCTCTTCCTGTCTTTCTGCCAAATGTATTTTATTCCAAGCCAAGGGATGAATGAGCAGGCTCTGTGCTGCAAAATGTGTCGTCTTCCTGTTCTCTGAATGTGGATGTGCCATGAGAAGTAGCTCTAGCAAAGTTCCTCTCTSGTCACAGTTTTGTTCATGTTTATTGTTTTCTCTAGCCTGTCCAGAAACATTCCCTTTCTGGATTGCCTTCACCAGTGGGTGAATTTGAAATGCTGCTGCATTTATGCTCCCTCTCCTTCCCTTCAAACCTGTCAGCGTTAACAGCTGTCTTACTGTCCCTTCTCTCAGTGGATACTGTACCATTTGATGAAAGCTCCTAAAATAATCCCCTTATAGATGTGGTGATCGTGTTACATGTCAGCTTTCTGAAGTACGAAATCCCATGTGATTGCCAGGCAACGTGGCAGAAACAACTCCTTGTGAAGGAGYCAGGTGGAGCTGGGGCTCTCCAGGAGCCCAGTCCTGGCTGCAGCCCAGTCACCTGCTGGCAGCCTTKCTCCCAGCATTGACTTCTGCTGGCTGGGAATTCATTCAGTTTGCAGGAATTGGGAGGCTGAAATGGTTATAATTCATGTGGCCTCTGCTTAAATGCAGACATCCACAKAACTCACACTATAGTCTGATTTTATAAAAAAGGCAGAGGAGAGGAAAAAAAAAATTCCTACTCTGAGCTGGACTCGCAATGTGTCTTTTGCCAGCAGAAAGATCTGTTTACACTCTGTAGCTTGTAAAGTAAAGGCTCTTAACATCTTTATTGCTTAACTAGGTCAATTTAGGTTCAGGTCTTGCTGAGGTGATGTTTTCCATGATTGTGTGAGTGTTCCTGAAGGAAGGCCTGAGCTACCATTGCTTTTATATGTGCTCAGAGTTCAGCTCATGGGGAGGATGAAGAGATGGTACATTCAATAAAGTGGTTTGGCAGCCTGAACTATGGGTGCCACTGAAATTCATGGAGAAGGACCTTCTGTTTAGCATCAAAGACTGGACCTCCTCATGGGAGGTGAGCAAATGAAAAGCTTTCTCCAAGCTTCGGGCAGCCATGCTTTCCTGAGGCAGTAGGCGATGCAATGCAGAAAGAGTCATGTCCTTTTAGAGAAGGGTGCAAGATGAAATGGTGCAAATCAAATGGATGAACTTGTCTTTGAARCCTTGAAACTTGCACTGCTTTTGGATGTATTTCATTTCCTCTCACGCTTATATATGTGTCGATAAAAAAGGAGAGTAAGGATGAGCTCGGTTTCATAGTCYATAATCCAGGATTTGTTCTCATGTTTCCAGAGGCAAAAGGCAAATGCATTAAGCCATTTCAACACCTTATGTAGCCCCAATCTCAGAATTATCTTTACAGTTCAGCTGTTTTGTCAGCTGTTCCCCCTTTTTTAATTCACTGTACAGAATTTAATCTCTATTACAGGCAGAATCCACASCAGTATCGCTGTTACAATGCACCTACCCCAGTTCGACGCAAAAGGGAGACAAAGTTATTCGATTACTGAGGGGAAAAATTGCCTGGCAATTCTTTGGATGTTTCTTCCAGCATATGTTAGCTCTCATTCCTTCCTAACTTGGCCTTTATTCTTCTCTCATCTTTCCATATTCCTATTCCAAAGCAATGCTGTCCCATCTCTCCTGTGGTTACAGCACACCTGTGCTTGGGGAGGATGTTTGACCAGAGCAAGGTTCAGTTTGAAACCAGGATAAAATATCTGCTCTCCCACAGTATTTCAGTCAGCAGAGCAAGCTGTTATCATGTTATCATGGGTATTAAAGCTTTGGCCATTCCAGGCACGCATGGAGGAGCAACACAGTTTCAAACTAGTTTTAAAACAAAGCTAAAACTATGAATGACAACAGATTTCTCTGATTTCCTATATCCAAAAAAAAAAAAAAAAAAAAAAGAATAATCTGATGCTTTCCTCCTCCAAATCATATTCCTAAACATGACCTGCATTTCTTGATTCATGGTTCATGTATGACTTGGAATGGGAACTGCAGCAAACACATTTGATAAACTTTCTTTTTGCAGAGATATGAGATATTCAGAAATGTGTTGTCTCTGTATTTTTCACATTGATATTGTTCAGTGCTCAGTAAGTTTACTAAAAAATTGCTAAAAATATGCTTTGTGGCACATTTTTTGATGAGGAGTAATTAAGAGAGATGCTTTAAAGTGATCCTTTGCTTACACTTGACTTAAAGAAAGACTACTTTGAAGTACAGAAACAATTTTCAAAGTATTTCAAGTGTTTGAAAGCCTTTTGAAGGTGTTTGAAAGAGTTAAAATGTTGTGCATCCAGTGTYATTTCCCTGGAGATGGAGTGCAGAGGTGGAAAACAGGTGGCAACGTTTTTCCCGAGTTTGCGTGCGCAAAGGGCGCAGTGCGGCTCCCCGAGGCCGTGCCACTGTGCCGAGCACCCCTTGTTTCCTGTCCCCCAGGACGGTTTCACCCCTCTGGCTGTGGCACTGCAGCAGGGACACAACCAGGCTGTGGCCATCCTGCTGGAGAACGACACCAAGGGCAAGGTGCGGCTGCCGGCGCTGCACATCGCCGCCAGGAAGGACGACACCAAATCGGCGGCGCTGCTGCTGCAGAACGACCACAACGCCGATGTGCAGTCCAAGGTAACGGGGCRGGCTCAGAGCCCAGGGACAGCAACTTCAATCCCTGCCTTCTAATGGGGAAAGACACCTTACTCCACCAGTATCACCTTTAAGTTTGCAGTGTTAATCTACACTGTAATTACAAAGTGCTCATTTTTCCACTTTTTACTAGCACCTCCTGTTTCTTTGGTAAGCAGCTTTTTCTCATTATTTGCAAACCAGAAGCCACTGGAATGGAAGCAGAATGACTGCTTCACTAATAAATAGGATACTGGTTAATTACCCATGGGAACATAGGTTKTGTTTAAAGTTAATGCATGCTTAAATGGCTTTTCCTATAATTAACAGCATAACTHATTTCAAAAAAAGCAACATAGTTCTTCATTTTGCGGCCAGTCTTTAATATTGTTCCTCTTTTTCCCAAACCATGCTGCATCAGATGATGGTGAATAGGACGACTGAGGTACCGAGATCAACRATTTTTAATTACTCTTTCTATTACTTATTATTATTTTTTCTGCTCTTTGCCAGTATTTCTTTATTATTTWGCCCTAAAAGTGAAGATAAGACTCTTTTTTTAAGTACATAGAAATTTGTGACTCAAAAAACCTATTATGCATCCTTTGTCTTAGAATTTCTTTTTATTTGTGTCAGTATTGAAGGGCATTTTTGAGAATTCACATCAGTTCAAAGAAGTCTGAAGCGAGTAATGGAGCTAAGAGGATAAAAATGCTTTTTTAGCTCAGTTTCATTAATTATGAAAATGCASTCACTTGGCATAACTAAATCAGGGTGTCTGGCCCAGCCAGAATAATGGTAAAATTAATTTTCCTTCTTTTACAACAATTAGCATAATCAAATTCCCCAAGGTAAAAAAACTTGTTCAGGGCATCTGCTTATTTTTACTATTGTTCTTATTACAATCTTTTCCATTAAGTTTTGCAAAGCGCTCAGGGACAGTACATACTCAGAACTTATCTGCAGTAAATAAAACATTCCTTATAAAGAATTCTCTTCCACTGGAAATCATGGGTCAGATTGGCTTGGAGTGGGATTTCTCCCCAAAAGATTATTGCCACTTTTAGGAGAAAGAACGATTTCCAAGAATGCAGTAGTTTTTTCCATACCTGCTTTTGAATAATGGAGTTTCTGAGTTGGAGGAGGGAATGAATTATGGATGCACGTGCCCATGGGAAGGTGCTTCCTGCTTGGCATGTGTGCACAGATGAGCAGCTGTGATGTGAACTGAAGGGTGACAGCTTCCCTGGGCACCTGCTCCATGGGCTCCTTCTCCCCTCTGGGAAACAACAAAGAGCTGCAGCAGTGCCCATCAAGGAGGGCAGCACACCCCCACATTCCTTTGTTCCAGGAGTAACTTAAAATGCTGATTTGGATACTCAGAGGAAGGAAACCTAGATGGGAGCATGCTGTAGTCAAGAAGTCAGAAGTGTTCCTTTTTTTTTATAACAGCAAGATCCAATCAAATCAGTGTAAAGCTCTTCAGGGAAACTCAAAACCAAGGCCCTTTCTACTTGAATTACTTATGAGAATAAAAGCTTGCTCTCTGTCCTAGTTTCTGAAAATTTAATCTYCATTGCTGTTGTCGTCAAGCAATTCTRTATCTCCTAGCTRRAGCAGGTGTTCAAATTGCAGTAAATAAAATGTAGTTTTYCTGATTTATAGATTGCAAAGTTTTTTCAGATCCTTTGCAATACAAACTGGATATAAATATAAGTAATTATGTTTCTTTTACTGTGCTACTAAGTAATTTCTCATGTAAACCAAACACTTTAATTACACATTGGATAATTGCAGCTTTCAAAAAACAAAAACTAGCAAAAAAAAACCACCCAGAAGGAAATACATTGTCCATATTTCTGTGTTTAAGAGCAGTAAAATAAGAGTCCAACAACTTTTGCGGTCATTTATCCAAATCCAGTAAATAGATGGAGCCCAAAAGACCCATGTTGCTTCTAAATGGTAATTAGGAAACTTGCTTTAATTTCTTTAGGAATGGCTAATATATTAATATATTCTGTGGTGAAAGCTACTCTTATTGGCCACCAATGCAGGAGTCTGAGTTGGGACAATGAAAGAATGAARCATTTTTCATAATCTCCCACCTGAAAACTGCCCTTTCTGCACTGGATAAAACTGACAATAATGCATTTGCTGGCCATCACTTTTAAAATCAAATTCTAGTTAAACTGGTGATCTTGTACAAGAAGATTTCCGTAACGAGGGCTGTTTGCCTTTGTAGAGTGGCTTCACCCCTTTGCACATCGCTGCACATTATGGAAACGTCAAYGTGGCCACGCTGCTGCTGAACCGCGGAGCTGCCGTCGACTTCACAGCAAGGGTACGGCCTCACCCTTTCACCTTTGGGAGGGCTGCTTTGGGTAACTCAATCAAGAGCTGAGTGAAGGAAGGAGCAAAGTAATGCTGAAATTGTGTTGGGATCAAAGATATATTTTTTTTGCAGTAATTCTGAGGGGTTGTCTCTGAGCCATGCACTGGAAGCCTGAGGAGTTGTGTAACAGCTGGAGGAAACAGGATCCTTTGGCCAGCTCCAGAAAGCTGATACTCTCATAATGTGTCAACTCCCCTTGGCTTTCCTGTTTGTTAGATGTACTCAGCTAATAGATGTAGGATTGATTGGCTTTTTCAGTATTCAGTGTTTGCCATACCACTTTAATTTGATTTTTTCACATCATATGTATAAATGTATTTGTAAATCAAAAAGTACAGTATATTGCTATTATATAAATGCAACAAAAGCACTAATTGATCATGACTACTCTTTTGTGGTAAACAATTGCAGTTACATACTACAACCTCTTTGTTGTTGTACATGTAGTTTGAAGTTAAATCCTCCGGTAATCACAACCCAACCCCCAGGTCACAAGTTTGCTGTTTAATTTTGCCAGACACACTTTGAATGAACTTCAAAGTTCTGCCTTCCAGACTGACTCCCTCCTGTTTCCAATCTGGAGTAACTGCTAATATTACCTCTTGCCTCACCCAAAGTGTTTTCAAGGACTTTCAGCCTACACAGCCTACTCCTCCTTTATGCTCTTGGCAATAACTAGCAGGTCCCTTTGTGTAGGAGTGACGCATTTGTGTCCTCTGTGTACGTTGCAGTGATTTAAATGCATCAGTGTTTTGTGACTATTGGCTCATTGGGACTCTGATACATGTTTGTGTATTTGTCTGGCCCTGGGGCTGCAATGTTTGCTGCTTGGGCAGATGCGCTGCTTCTTTGATTCAAGGATCCCCAAACCATGGAGAAGGAATCTTGCTGTAGGAAGGAATTACTAACTCTAGCTTGTATGGTGTGTGCCTAGCTCTGGTGCTCTGGTACATTCTTGTTATTCTCTATGATGTGATGGTCTCATTTTTTGTGATCCGAACCCAACTTCACCCCCATTGCACTCCTTCAGATCCATCCAGCTCATTGTTTGTTCTTTTCATGGTGTAGAATGGAATCACCCCACTGCATGTGGCTTCCAAAAGGGGAAACACAAACATGGTGAAGCTCTTGTTGGATCGCGGAGGGCAGATCGATGCCAAAACCAGGGTGAGTCTTTCTGTTCCCTGCATATGATATTGTCCCTTCTGGGGAATGGACTGGGATTTTTCTTTGCTTGCTTTTGGGGTTGSTTTGTTTTATGTAGACTGTTTTCTRTGTTACCAGACTAAAGAACAGCAGGTGTGGGTGATAGTAGGAGGCAGAAATACTATTTCCTTTAGTCTCCTGTWTAACCTGCCTGCATCATAACAGAAAAAGCTGAGCAAACTGATGTTTTTTAGGGAATAAGCCTGTTAGCTGGTCTAAYGTTACATGACACAAGACCATGTGTGATGCACAGCAATAGAAATGGAGACTCTGGACTCAGCTAAAGCCTTTCAGTCCCCTGAAATGTCTGTGCCAGTCTCAGTATGTGCTATGGATACTTCACTAGTGGGCTCAGTCCATTTTTACTGAAGGGCTGATACAGGGAAAAGTAACCTACTCAGTGCCAGCAGCACTTGCCTCTTCCCCAGACAAACTATGGGATACTGATTGGGTGACTCCCACTGGCTTCCTCCTCCCACTTGTCCTACTGAAATGTCCCATCATCACTCTGGATTGTTTATGGGTGATTTCACAATCACTCAGGGCGAAAGAAAAACTGATCATTTTATATGTGCAGGGTTAAATATTTCAAATGGGGATTTGGGGTGACGTGGGGAAACATGGTCATTTATTCAGMCTGAGCTACACAGGGCTCGTTCTTGGGAACTGCTGGTTTTTAAGTAGCTGGGCTGTAAAATTACATGTCCAAGTGATCAAGAGTATTTTAGAACACAAAGTTTAAAGCTGGACACGAAGACTTATTGTTTAACAAGATAGGAAGGTAGAAGATATTGCAGTCAGCTACTCTTGGGGTTGATTCAACCTCTGCAGTTATTTGGATATTGATTRCATCAACCATTTATTGCTTCGTAAGCTCTGAAGACAGTCATGATTATTGTAAACTCTATATGTRATTGTGGTTTTGATTTCTCATTATTTATGAAATGATGTCTTGCTATTTTATTATGTTTTAAAAACTACTGCTGATGGAAAAAGCTGCCTCTCAAGCAGGTGTGCAGCAAATCATCCCTGCTCACATTTTCCACAATATACACTTAAAATCTCATGGAAAAGAGGCATGAAATGGTAATAATACACTGCAGTCAGGATATTCCACATGCTCCTAAGCATGTCATGCACAAATAGTCCATTTGGCCCATGGAATGACACCTATTTCCTGCTCAGTATTTAGATACTGTTCTAGACAAGTTGACACAGATGATTGTAGGGGATGTTTTGCTTTTCAAGAGGTGAAGGTGTTTTCCCTTTCCCGCTCACCCGCAAAGGTTGAGCGCAGTTGTGAATGAATCTGAGAGAACAGGATTTACCCAAAGCAGGTGGGAGGGGCCGATTTTAGATCTTCTCATTGTCTTGGCTCCCTGCCCTTTGTCAGCTGCTGCGTGGGCACAAAGATATCCCTGAAAGCCCATACAGGTATCCTAAGGCACACTGTCCCAGCTTGCACAGGCTCCACAGCTCCTCTCCTGTCACCTTCCACCTCCTCTCTGCTTGAGGCTGGCGGTCGGTGGCGTGCGCCCCATGGTGGGGAAGATTCCAGAGCTTTGGTTTTGCTGTCCATGTCTTTGTGTCAGCTGTTTCCGTTGTCTTGGTGTCCCTCTCTTGTCACTGTGCTCTCTGCACACCTGGYGTGGCTGTGGCTCTGTCGGGTGTGGAGGAGGCAGGGGAGGTGTTGCATGTGCTGCGTCCATGGAGTGACAGACCTGCCCTGCTGCGGTACTAACACACCCTGCCTTCCCATTCCACCTTCCTGTGCTTCCCAGGAACTTCTTCCASCAGGTCACAGTCACTGCAAAACAGGAGAATTCAACTACCAGAGTGTTTCACTGCCAAGTTCTTGTGCTCCACGCCACATCAAAATAAGCTCTTTAGTTAAAAAAGTCCTCGCTGCTTTCATCCTGTTTATTTTTAGCTTGCTTTGTTACATGACATCTGATGCTGCATAAATTAGGATGCAAAAACTTATTTTAGACGATTGCGGATGAGCTTCAGTACTTCAGTTTTGCTAAGTTAATCTGTGAAAGCTTTCTATGTTTGAAAATGTTCCATTGGAATGATTCTTTAAGAGCCCCTGTGTTGTCTAAAAATATAAATTGAAATGCATATTCCTGAAAGGGAGAAAATTATGCATGTGTCCTGCTGTTCCACAGTTAATGTGGCATGTCRGAGGAAGGCCCTGCTTTCTGCAGGAATTAGTATTTTTATTTTCTATACATTTCAGAACGCATTTGCTGAAATTTTACGGCATTTCTCCCAAGGCCATAGAAGTGTAGAATTGCTGATAAATCTCTAGACATAATTACATATTTAAAAATAATATTTTTCTTAATTTTTGGCAAGTTCTACCTTTTTTTCTCAGCTAAGCACTAAGTTTTTAAAATGTGAAATTTAATTTCTTTTTTATGTTGCATCCAAAGGAGAAATGGAAACTCCATGCTTAACTATAATAATAGGATACCTTTATTAGTACTRTCTGTTAGTGAGAGTATTATGATATTTTATAATAGTAAAACATCATCTTTAACAATAGAAARTTATTATATGATARTATAATATTTAAATATTATTTGAAYATATATCATTATRTAACATCTGGTRTATGTTTTGCAACTYCCATTTACATACAAGCCTTACMTTGATTTTTGTTCACTAAGTAATTAATGGATAAAATCTCCTATACTAAAATATTTCATATTCAAAATTTTACTCAAACCTATATTCTCTCTGTGTTTAGATAAGTAAGAATTTCAATGACATAAGTTCATTAAAAATATTAATATTTGGCCAAAATTCTGATCCGTGCAGCTTCTGATGGTTAGTTGGAATTAGAGGTCAGAAAAATTGTGCAGAAACTTGTTCTCTGAAAGATGGAGGCAAGTTTGATTTATGATTAATTTAATGTCAGCTGATCAAGGGTAGCGTGGCAATTACCAGTTTTTTTGTTTGAGGGAAGGAAAGCATTTACAGCCTTCCTGGAACACACTAAGGATTGTTACAGGGAGAATTATTGTCAGCATTTAAAAGCAATTTCAGCATGGCCAAAATGCATATATTTCTATTAAAAAAACAGTCTTCATATAATGGAATCATAACAATATGTACCATCAGGATACGGAAATGTTGCTGATTATTACAGAGTTTTAGGAATAGCCTTTCCAAATGCAGTTTTTGTATTATCTCTATTTTTATCATTTCTCTCTATAAATTGTATGAGGAACAAAAAAGAACAAGAATATGAGGCTTTTATACTGCATGCTTTTTTTTGCTTTTAAAATACAGTGTTATTCTCAGGCTTTTATCACCTTGCTGGAATTTCCATTTTGGTGGGAGTATGCAAACAGCCTTCAAAGGGAGAGGAACACTCTCACCTGTCTCAGCTGCTGAAGTTGTCACACTTTTTGTGTTCTTTCTATTCAGTCTTGCCAACATTGAAATTAGATTTTTCTTGCTCTGGGACTTTTCTTTAGACTCTTCTTGCAGGCATTCATCCAGAATATTTACAGTTGAAAAAAATTCATGGAATAAAAGAGAGCATTTAGTTCTGGAAGGGAAGGGTTGTTGTGTGGGAAAGTAAGCATGCGGTGTGCCCAGAGCGTGGCAGCTGGAGCAGGGATAGGTGTGGGAATGGTGGGATGAGGTTTGGTGCACCATTTGGGCTGGAGAAGGGCCACAAGAAGGAGGAGATTCAGCTGGAGCTGAAAGAAGTGGCAGGTCAGTCATGGAGATGAACAGTACCAATGGGAAAACAAAAGGAAGGAAACCATGGGTGGTGGAACTCAAATTTGTTTGGGTTGGGTTGGGGTTTTTTTGGGGAATGTGCTTCAGACACCCTTTAGCACTCATTCTTGAAGCCTATTGAGATTTATTTGTAATAATAAATTCTTTTRTAGATCTGCATGCTGACAAAATAGGCTTGGCTTTGCTATTCCACATGGGAGGGGCAGTCATTGTAGCAGGATCTTGGCCCTGCCTTGGCACTRTGCTCTGTACACTGCTTGTTCCTGCAGTAGTGCTGCTGGGAATTTTCTCCTCATCTTCCTACATGCATAGAGCACTAATAATTCATTGGCAGCTTTTGCTGTTCATAAAGCCATGCRAGATTATAAATATCTAATCAGAATGCAGATATTTCCTATAAAAAATTCAGTGGCTTCATATAACGTTTACAAGGGAGTGGGAAGGGGTGTTGTATGAATTGTCTAAGCAAGTTATGTAGATCATGACTGTTATTTGGGGTTGTTTATGTTTCTATGTTAATACTCTTAATACTCAAGCAAGAATGTGGTATATTCTTGCTGTATTTCCAAATTTGTACTGTGAATAGCAGACYTGGAGGGATACTTTACAGCATATTTAATTATGCCAAGAGCTTAGAGCAAGAGGGAGATTCGCCTCGTTCATTTTTAAAGAGATGAGGTTTAGTCATAATGAAAAATGAACAAATTAAAAGCCCTTTATTTGTGAAGAAAATTTAGACAATTTTGCATGTTTGACATATGGAATACTAAAATTTTAYTTCACCCTTATATAAATGAGAACATGCAGCTGCAGTTCAGAATAATTCGTTGGTAATTTGGCCTTTGATGTTCATGTCTATCAGCAGTTTTTGGTCGAATGAGCACTGAATGTGAGCAACTGTCCTGTGAAGGTGCTGCCCGCATCATTTCCCATTAAAAATCCCTCATAAGCACAATTTCTTTTTGTCTCAGTGTTTCTAGTAAGCTGAAGGAAAGTATTTGTGAAATTACTCAATAAATCATCTTCCAAAACCCTACAGTCAGGAGTCATGCCCAGAATTCAGAATTAACTTTTCAGGTTAAAAAATGACCAGTGCTTGATTTTCAAGGAAGAAAAGGCACCAGTTTACCTTTTATTTTGAGAGACATTTAGGAGGGAATTAGGCTGATGGAATTTCCTGGCTTCCATGCACACAGAGGGGATTGTAYTGTCATTTCTAAGGGTGACCCAGGTGTTGGTTACATTGCAGAGCATAAGTTAGGAGAGTACCACATATGGGAACAGCARAGCACCAGGTGTGGGATGTCATTGGGGAGATGAAAACATTTAACTCTTCATTCCTCAGAATCTGGAGCATGGAGATAAATGTTGAACTTCTTTAAACGTAAAATTGCCAAATTTCTAGGCTCCTGGCATAGCAGCCTTTGTGTTTATGGAATATCCACTATCTGTGCTTCCAAGTCTGCATCCTTCTGAGCCAGGCTTGGATATCCTGTCAAATGATGTGCCTGATGTACTCATCACTGGATGTTTTTCARTTAGCAAGGGAATGATTAAAGAAGTACTTAGGCAAAATTCTGCAATTGATTGGAGATCRCTGAGGCTCATTGCAAATAGATAATGGTGCAAAAAAGGATGAATTTGGTACACTGGTGTGTCTCTTCATGTTGGCTTATGTCAGCTTGTCCTCATTGTTTTCTGTACTAATACTTCTGCTACAACAGCTCTCTCTTTGCCATTTCCCTCATCTTTGAATWAAACATATAAGCAAAAGACTTTAAAGTACTAAATATACAATGATTTTAAAATATASATGCTGTTTTCCTCAGAGCAGAAACAGGAAAGGGAAGAGGGTTCTCTGRGAAGTTCTCAAAACAGCTATGGCAGGGTGAATAGATTGGTAACAAATTTCTGTTTCTACTTTTAAAGGGAATTGTAGATAAGAACAGAGAAATCATGCTTTTAAAACTTTCAGTTTTATTTTTTTGTTTTAGCCAGACTTTGTTGTGGAGTAGATGTACTTCTTGGCTTGTATTTTTCTTCTTATTCTCCCTCTCGGGATTTGTCCTGCTTTTTTCAAAGATTCATACAATTCTGSTTTTTTCTGCTGTTTTATTAAATAGAATAACATCAAAGCCCCCACACAGATGGAGCAAGTGACCCTCCCACATTGATTAAAAATGTAGAGCACAAGAGGCCAGAAACTGGAAAGAAATATCAAATAAATCCCTTCCCTAGAAATTCACTTGGGATGTATTTTCACCTTAGTGACACCAATGGGAGTTACCTGTGTGAATCCCTCTGGCAAGGAGATGATAATATACCTCAGTTGTTCATTAAAGTCTTGMTTTGGAAGATTCTGAAGTTTCAGTGCATTAAAAAAAACAAAACATATAAGGTAGTTACACTTAATTCTTCACACAGGAGCTTTTTCATAGATGTGGGGCTGCATTCCTGGAAGGTTGCTCCTCAGAGTGCCAGGATGGACAGCTGGGAATGTGCTCATTTGTTTCTCTCCTTTTGCTTTAAGGATGGACTCACCCCACTGCACTGTGCTGCAAGAAGTGGCCATGACCAGGTTGTGGAGCTGCTCCTGGAGAGAGGTGCCCCGCTRCTTGCACGGACCAAGGTGTGTGTGTGCCCTGTTGGAGCATGGAACTCCTCTGTGTAACCTTCCACAGAGCTTTCAGTGTCACTGAGAGGGCAAGGGAGACAACAGGAATGTACCTGTCCTCCCAAAGGAGCTGTATCAATGGCAGAATAATAAAAAAGAAGATTTTCTTATATAAGAAAGGGACTATCCTTTCCAAATATATGAAAAGTATATGCTTTTTTCCCCCTCTCCTTAGTATCAGACTAAACACATGGTATGGAGTGCTACTGCCAGCACTTCCCTTGTGTTGCTGTGTGAGACTGTAGGACACAGAGATGGGAAAGCTGGATCAGTCACTCCTTAGAGGTGATTCCTGATACATACTTTCTGATCCTTCAGATAAGATAACAAGGACAGTTTCTCCTAATTTTTTACAGACTGTGTCAGACTTGGAAAATTATTTCACTGTGCTTTTTCTCACATCTGGAAAACAACATCTAAAACTAATTCATTTCCTACAGATTCTGTCTCTTTGGTGAAACTAATGAGAGGAAGATAATTGTWTGATAACAAAACCCATGAGCAGCACCTCACAACAATGAATGTCCTTCTTGTATATGCCACAATCTAAGAGGGAATTACTAAAATTTGCTGTTCTGTTTTGTTTGTCACAGAATGGACTCTCTCCACTCCACATGGCAGCCCAGGGGGACCATGTGGAATGTGTCAAGCACCTGCTGCAGCACAAGGCTCCTGTGGATGATGTGACCCTGGACTACCTGACCGCCCTGCACGTGGCCGCTCACTGTGGCCACTACCGTGTCACCAAACTGCTGCTGGACAAGAGAGCCAACCCCAACGCCCGTGCCCTGGTAATCCTGGCCCAGCTGGGTCATGTAACAAAGCTCTTACCAGGAAAGCTGAGTGACAACTGTCAGCAGACTCCAGAGCCTTAAATAGGAGCAGTAGCCACAGGGGTGTCACTGGTAGCCTGCTGGTTAGCCTTGTATCCTTAGGCCTGGTCATGAAACACATCCCATGGCCTGTAGTGCTGGGTCTGGAAGCTCTGCAGAGTTCCTAAAATCAGAGCTGATGTTAAAGAGTGCATTACTGTTTTTCTTAGTTCATAGTTCAGTATTCCATGCTGCGTGGTAAGATAGACAAATAATTTCTGAGCTTTCACCTGAATTAATTGGCACAGGGATAATATATTAAAAAGCTAGTATTTCTCTATTTATCAAATTATGACATTTTCCTCTATTAAGTGCCATTTTTCTTTCTTTTTAAAAACAGTTSTTATGTTTACAGGACACAAGGTATGCTTCCTTTCAGTCACAGATCAGACCATTTCCCCTAACAAAGAGAAAAACATTACATTTGKCTCTGGGAACATTTCAAGGGTCTTTAATGTATCCAAAGCCAGACAAGATTCCAATTTTCTGCTTCTGCATGGGCAGAGTTCTGCCACTGCCTTCTGTATTGGGGGCCTGCACAGAACTGCCACTGAAGGGCACTAGGATTCCTTCCCCAGCTTCGTGCCCACAACAGGACCCAGTGTTTTTCTGTGTAGGCTCTCCTTATCCTTTACTTCCTTGGAACTGACAMCATTTTCTTCTGCTCTCTCATTTTTCTTGGCCCTTCCATRCCCACAAATCCCATAGCCTTTTTTCCTTCCCCCCCTTATGCTTTTCTTGCTTTGTCTTTCTAAGTGTCATGTTCACTTGGTTGATCTTTTTTGACTCTGTTTTCATCCTTYCTTGTTTTTCTTGTCAGTCTTCTGACTATCTCTAGCTACACTTTGCTCAGCTACCCACATATACCCCATACCTCTTTTTTTTCTTTCCTTTCATGGCCAGAAATACATTTTCTGTTCCCCTCCCTCCCTGTGAAACATGGAAACAATAGGAGAACACCCTSAGGCTGCTGCCTCTCTGCTCTCTTCCACCAAACTGTTTTTCTCTYCCCCTTCCTCTCATTTCCTCTGTCTCCCATCAGGGACTTGTCGCCTCTGGCTTGTTGGTAGTGTTTAATATATTAAATGATGCTCATAATTTCTGTTAGTGATACATTTTTTTCTGCCTTCTCCTCTCCCCCATCAAACTGTTCCTGACTTAAATAGAAGTGGCAAAATTGAATCAACTGAGGCAGTAAAATTCAGTGAAAAATATGRAAACTTCTGAAACAGTGAAACTCCSTATGAAATATATTGAGAGATGTTGTGTGGGAAGTAAAATAYCAAATGGTTTTGATTCCTTCTTTAGAAATTGGAGAAGCAGTAATAATATTCAGCAGAGTCCTGTGATGGAATAAATATTACAAAGAATTCATTTTCAATGAATTATTAAAAAAAAATAATTGGTAATGTTTGCAAAATGCTTTGGGGATACAAGCACTATGTGAGTTCTTAGCTTTTTCACTGTGTATATGCTTTAAAACACCTTCAAATCAACTATTAATTAACATTTCCCTTAACAGAAGCAGCCTGTAGAATAATAGTCACGTGATTATCTCTTCCCATGAGCTAAGATTACACTGCTAGGTTCTGGTTACTGCTGGTTGATTGTTAAGCAATACTGATCCTTTTCATTAGAAAATGTAGCAATTTTTCAACATCATCTAAAAAATGTTACCAGTGCTTTTCACTAAAATGTTCACGTGTGGTGAGTAATGTGTTTGTTCAGCAAGCACTTAACCTGCATTAACTGTCATCAGATTATCATGACTCCATAGCCAAGGAGTGGTTCTTTATCTAAGGAATCTCACAGAATGTACACAGACACTCAAACATGGTTATTACACCTTTAGGTTGATATATGAATACAAAAATAAATACACAGAAATGTTCAGATTACAGGTAAAACAAAAAAWTAAGGTGGAATCTGAAAGAAGTACATTGTTCCTTTCTCCTTCTCAGTTTAAGTGGCTTTGAACTGAAACAGAGTAGATTTAGGTTAGATATTAGGGAGAAATTCCCTGTGAGGGCACTGAAGCCCTGGCACAGTTTCCCAGAGAAGCTGTGGCTGTCCCATCCTTGGAAGTGTCCAAGGCCAGGTTGGACAGGGCTTGGAGCAGCCTGGGATAGTGGAAGGTGTCTCTGCCCACAGCAGCAGGWTGGAACTGGATGGGCTTTAACATCCCCTCCAACCCCCAYCTTCTGTGATTCCATGATTCTCTTGGAGCTGTAKAGGAAGTGCTTTATAAAGGCACTGATTCCACAGTGATCACTGTAATATTTCTCTTGTGTTAGACAGTCTTGGGAACACTATAAGTGCTCCTCACAGACACGTGTGCAGCCTCAGGAGCCACATACATACACACACATGACAGCTGGAAGTCAGGACAGGCATATCTGCATTTGGGGTGTGGAGGTGGAGGCTCAGTTTCTCTCCATTGCCTGGGAGGAAAGCAGCAGCCCTGCTTTGTTGTGCCTCAGACAGTGGGAAATGTCTCTAATTCATAACCTGTTGAGCTTCARGAGCAGTTGCTTGTGGCAGTCTAACCCTTGTGCTCGCAGCGCGCCGCCATGGAGCTGTGTGGGAAGTGTGGCTGCATGTTTCTAACTAACATCACTGTCTTTTGCACAGAATGGTTTTACTCCACTGCACATTGCCTGCAAGAAAAATCGCATCAAAGTCATGGAACTCCTGGTGAAATATGGGGCTTCAATCCAGGCTATAACTGAGGTAGCAAAATGTTTCRTGTCCTGAAGAAACATTCCTTCTCTCTCTCTCCTTTTTTGCTTCCTTTTTTCTGTCTCTCCTGTCATGCCTCACTTTGACATATGTTTTATTTAAACAAAGAAGCCCATCCCTACAGCCGTGCAGAGGAGTAAAACTGCTCTTGCTTTGTTTCGCAGTCGGGCCTCACACCAATACACGTGGCTGCATTTATGGGCCACTTGAACATAGTCCTCCTTCTGCTGCAGAACGGAGCCTCTCCTGATGTCACTAACATTGTGAGTATGGCTTTCASTAGAACCATCTGGTCAGGACCCACWGAAAGTCTCTGGCCTACCATGTAGCTCAACCAAAGGTCACATTTTAATGATTCTTTAGGACCGTTGTGCATTTTAGGACAAATTATTGTAGCAATTTTAGTGAACAAAGTGATGGCTGTATATGTCATTATAAGCCATCTCTGGTTTCRTGTATTCTACAACAATGCTTAAGTAGGTAAAGTTTTCCTTAGAAACAAGACAAAGCTCACCAAAAACATCCAAAATGGATTATAAGCCAAATCCCACAAAGTCTGAGTTTCCGTTCTGAAGGATGAAATTGGAGTCCAAATGGCTCTAATTTCTGCCTGCATAACTTCACTGGCTGCCATGAAATTGTGTCATTCCTGTCAGGGAAAYAGTATTAAATGCTTAAACCCCAACAATTAAACAAAAAGCAAAACAGTGAAACTCAAGATGTTCCTCTTAGGAAATTCCAGGAACTGGTGATTAAATCTGGAAAATGTGACCTTTGGGAGGTAACACAAAATGCAGAACCTGACTTACCATAGAAATCAGTGTTTGTATACCAACAGCCTAGTTACCAAGAAAAATAACAACAAAAATGACATTATCGTTTTCTGAGATGTATTTCATAAGATATTTTACTGCTTGAATTTGTCAGTATAAGCAAATTTCCACTGGGGGTCACCTGCACTTTGAAATCAGCTTTTTACAGTACATAAGGTTACAGGTAAGTGTTCCCAATWGCAAAAACAACAAAAATTTAGTAATCCAGGCACGCTGAACTCATTAGTTTTTCTCAGTTAGAAGAATCTTACATGGAATTCAGTAAAACTGTTAAGCAGGTAGAATTGTTTATGTTAGTCATTAAAATGGACTTTTCATATTTTTATATAGAACCAGTCTTTATATGAGAACTTTATTGATAATAAAAAAACAGCACGTAATTCTTGTGGAAGCAATCAGAAGTATTGTGTTACCAGACTTTTGTGTGCAAAGTTTAGCACTTTACAATTTCTGCTGCACAGGTGTCTTGGCTTTCACTTGGTAAGCTGAGGTTCCCTGTTGAATTACTGTTCCAAAACCTAAATTGCTTTGCTAATTCAAGCACAGAAGGGTCATTGTAGAAATTTGATCTTTAGAGTGTTTTTCACATCTTAAACAGCTCATTCTTTAGGTAATAAACTTTATWTATAGATGAAATGATTAAGATTTGTAGCTAGGGCTGTGGGATTTTRTTTGTTGCTTACTTACTAATCACAGTTGGTAATACAATGTTAATTTTAAAATGATGAGATAAAACAGCTCCTGGTGAAGARGGTTTGCTATAATTAAAAGTTTCTGTTAGAAGGCAAGCTTAGGTTGCTTCTTACCCCACATCTAGACAAGGACACGATGACACAATTCYTGATTCTGATGTAAATGTCTTGACTAGACTGTTTTGGCAGTTGCAYTTAAATTAATAGTTGAGGGAATAAAGGCCTTAGAACAAAATATTCTTCAGCTCTGGTGTAAGAAAAATGAACAATTAACACAAAGAAATGATGAGTCCAGACGAGTAGAGCTCCTGATTGTGGAACTGTTCCAGGAACTGATGTATTAGATACTTACTGGTGGGCTGCACAGAGACTGTTTCAGTCCACTTTGGGATGCTGCATACAAAGAACAGAGCCCAATTAATCTAGGAATGCTGTCCTTGAGGAATCCTCATTTTCAATGTTTCTTTGAAAACTTACGCAAAAAGTAAATGATTTGAATATTCCTTATCTGAAATTCCATATCACTCCAGTCAGCTTTCCAAAATTTCATATKCTTCAAATTCTGTGAGCTACAAAAGGCTTGAAACAAGATTGATTCCACAGCCTAGAGACAGAGCCCAGTGCCGAGCACAGATTTTACACATTTCATGTGCTGGCTGAGTTGTGCTCAGCCATTGCAAGGCCTCTTAATGCTGCCAGCTCCACACAGTGTGCAGGAAGGGACCATCTGGAAAAATATCCCCTTCCATCTTGAKGCTCCCGTGCCGTGCAATCCCTAGAGAGAGATGGGCTTTCAACTCTTCTCTGCTGTGTGGCACACGAGCTGATGCCCTGTTACATAGAAAGCTGAGGGACATATGTGAGCRGGGCAAGTCTACATGGCAGAATTTTCCTAAGTCAGGATTTTCCTTCTGTCCCTCCATGTCTGAGGTTATGTTTGTTTGGGATTGCCCAGTTTGCAAACCAAGGTACTCACAGGTACTCACACYCTGCCCTGGGGCTGGAGCCAGAGTYTYAGCTGGCAGAAGGCTGGGTCTCAGCACAAATTGTCATGGCTGGGACTGACATTGTCAGAGTTTTTTCTCTATGGAATTTTAGGATGCTGAAGTTCTTTTGCTTTCCTGCAGCGTGGAGAAACCGCGTTGCACATGGCGGCACGTGCCGGGCAGGTGGAAGTGGTTCGCTGTCTCTTGAGGAACGGGGCCCTGGTTGATGCCCGAGCCAGGGTAGGTGTTCTGCTTGCAATGTTTTTTGCTTYGAGTTAAAGCAATCACTCACCACCTCCCTCTCCTCCATTACTCCACTTTTTCTGTTATCACTTCCCATGGCTCTGCAAGATGCAGAGGAAAGTCTGTAGGGACCAAAGAGGGCACTGTCCTCAGGCGGCACCACCCGCTCTCATGACCCACTCGATTTGAGTTGTAGGAAGAACAGACCCCACTGCACATCGCCTCTCGCCTGGGCAAGACTGAGATYGTGCAGCTGCTGCTGCAGCACATGGCTCACCCTGATGCTGCCACCACCAATGGCTACACCCCTCTGCACATCTCTGCCCGCGAGGGACAGCTCGATGTCGCCTCTGTGCTCCTCGAGGCGGGCGCCTCCCACTCCATGTCCACCAAGGTAAGGCAAAACCCTTCACATCCCTGTGCCAGGATGGATGCTCTGTTCCATGGCTCATGTCCCTCCACTTTGAGAAATTGAGAGAGTCTGGGCCTTTTGTGTTGTTATTTAATCAGCAACAACACACTAGACTAATGCATCACAAGTTAATCAAATTTCAACTTATTTTGCTGCTATCTAAAATTGGGTTTGGTTCCTGCTCAAGCCAAATGCAGATATTGATAAATASACAGTCCCCACAGATTTAAAATGTCCTTTCCTTTTGTCTAACAGGCAGGGCTTTTTTTTCTTTTTCAAAAATGAAAGGGGATGGCAAGGACCAATTTTTAATGAACAGGCCTCCTTTTATTTTTCGATAGCTTGTTTACTTAAATAGTAAAATAATTCTGCCCTGTGCTAGGTGAAAGGAGTGTACCTAAAATGTMTAAGTCAGCATCTGTCCAGTCACATCGAATGCTGAATCTATTTTCAGTAGTTCTAGAAATGAGGTATCATGTGACACAACTGGCCATTTTGTCTGGGGTTATAAAAGAAATACTCTCCAGAATCACTAGTGAGTTTTGAGCCAAAAATGGTACCAATAGATTGCTAACAGAGAGATGAACATGTAAGAAAATATCTGTGAATAGAATTATATACCAATATATCTTTCAAATTTAAAGCATTTAATAAGTGATAATCACATAATTCTCACTATTTATAAAAGTACCCTTGGTTTTACAGCTGGAGCTTAAAACATGTTTATGAACAACAGGATGTCTGCTAGGGTTTAAAAGACTAAACCAGCAATTTTCAAATTATGATCCATGGATTACTGGGAGCGCTTGCTGTTCTCCTTTTATCCAGCTGTTAAATCACATTAGAATGGCTAAAAATACACTAAATACTTTCCTAATTTCCCATATTGCTTGATGGCAATTAGGATTGCGGGAACATTCTATAATTATGAATGAGAAGATGGAGCCCACTAGATATTATCTTTATAGACTTGCTCTTCATGAACTGAAAATGTTTGAGATTACCCCATATAAACTCTTTTTGAGGTGGGATTAATGAAACTAAATGATAATGATAATAAACATTAAACATCAGTTATGTGCCAGACAAATRGGTCATTGCAGCTTCCCAAAATTACCGTCAGGCAGCGGTGCAGGGTGCCACCTACTGTCATACACCCATGAGCCTCCCTTACCAGTTTTGCAATTAAAATAGGCAAAGAGAAGGGCTTTTTTTAGCTTCAGTAGGACTTTGTGATTGTGTGAATACACCAATCCAAGCAAAAATAATTTTGCAACAAACCCCTAGTGGAGGAAAGGGTTTGGAGTTTTTCTTGACAAATTTAGTCGGTGTTTCATTGTTACTGGCAACAATTGATGCAGGAAATAGTTTTAAAGCTGTCATCATGAAACAAAAAAAAGGTGCAGCTGGTTAGAGGTGTAAATTTGAACAAGTGCCTTCATTGCCCCCACAGAGTGTGTGCTGCTAGTACAGTTTGTATCACGTAAAGTGTCTGCCAGCCTGACTGCACATACATAGYGAAGAATAATAAAAGGGAAAGCATTTGCTTGTGTTTCATGCTTCTCAAAGTGTTTTTTAGAGAGGMTGCTCTTTCTAGGTTCAGCAATCGATTCTGATGTTGAAGAATAAGTGCTTAACACGTAGTTCTTAAAAGAGAGATGTCAGCATGACCTTTAACACGAACATCTGTGTTTTATCTTGCAGAAGGGATTCACACCGTTGCATGTGGCGGCCAAATACGGGAGTCTGGAAGTGGCAAAGCTTCTGCTGCAGCGTCGTGCCTGTCCYGATTCCGCTGGCAAGGTACTGCTGGGGGAGAAAAAGCAGTGTGTTGGATTCTTCCTTAAGGAAGAACTGTGTGAAATATGCACCCCAAGAAGGCTGCAGCTGCTTTTGCGTGGTGATTGTGGCTTTGTTGGGGTTGTGCCTCCCCCAGGGTGACGGCTGAGTGCYGCTACCCAGCATGTGGGGTTTGGGTCCTTGGCAGGAGGGTGCACAGCTGCTCTGTGGGCAGGTGTGTGCCTGTGGCTCAGGAAGCGCCGGTTCYATCAAGCTGCCTAAATTCCCAATGGATAAACACAAGAGCAAAGCCCAGGTTTCCCTGGAAATTCATTCCGGTACAGTGTGACGGAAGCCAGCGGCTGCCACCCTGGTTCCCGTGGTCTGCTGCTTCTCCCCTCTAACAGCCGGCTCCCTGCCATGGCCTTGCTGTCCATTCCCGCTGCCCCCCCCCGGTCCCCTGTGTCCCTTGCAGCCCCCTGGACCCTTCCATCCCCCGTGTCCCCCGTGTCCCCCGTGTCCCCGTGTCCCGCTCCCGTAACGCTAACGCCGTAACGCCCTTTCAGAACGGCCTCACCCCGCTGCACGTGGCGGCGCACCCGTGTCCCCCGTGTCCCCGTGTCCCGCTCCCGTAACGCTAACGCCCTAACGCCCTTTCAGAACGGCCTCACCCCGCTGCACGTGGCGGCGCACTACGACAACCAGAAGGTGGCGCTGCTGCTGCTGGAGAAGGGCGCGTCGCCTCACGCCACCGCCAAGGTGAGCCCGCCGCCATCAGGGGAGCCTGAGGGGCCGCCGCGACTCGCTGCACTGTCGAGCAGCGGCAGCAGTGGCCTTAGAAATGTATATTCCGACCAGGAAAACCAAGAATGAGGACRACGGAGATTCATTCCAGGTTTAGACGCAGTGTTGTGGTATCGCTGTGTACGTGAGGGGAGCCCTGAGGAGACCCTGAGGGGAGCCCTGACGCTGAGGGGATTCAGTACCGCCAGAGTTTTAGTCTCAGGTGGAAGTCACTTCACTATGGCGCAATGACACTAGAAATTTTATTCCGGGCTTAGGARTGGTGTTGTGTTATCACTGTGCCGGTGAGAGGAGCTCTGAGAGGACCCCCCCCTCACTGAGGCTGAGGGGCCCTGAGGGGACCCAGCCCAGTGAGAGCTTTGGTCACAGCTGGAAGTCACCTCAGTATTGTGCAATTTTAGCAATTTCTTTAGAAATGTGTATTCTGACCGTGCACACAAAGAATTCATTCCAGGGTTAGGAGTGGTGTTGTGTTATTGCTGTGTAAGGTAAAAGTTATAAGGAGAAAATGGTGAGCAAATTGGTGCAATACCAGAGTGTCCTGCCCTGTTGTGAGGCTGCTGCTGTACACTCTTCCAGAAAATGCTCAGGAATTGTACTGGGGCTGTGGTTTCCGTGGCAGTGCAGGTAAAGCACGATAGTTTGGGAAACCTCCCATTTAAAAACAACAACCACAGACCAGCCCACCCAAACACATCCACAGGACCTGTGTGCTGGCACCCAGGATTTTCCCTCACAATGTGCTATAATTAGGAAGTTGTCTTATTGCCAGAAAATACCATTCTGCTGTGCTTAAGTGGTTAATTCAATCACAAAAACATTCCACCCTATTGCTGTTTCCAGCCTGTGACTGACACATGTATCAAAATTCCATATGCAAACACATCTCTACCCACATGCTCTGGGAAAGAGTAATGTGATGAAGGGTGTGCACTCATCACTCATCATGGAGAATGTCTCTCACCAGTCAAAGGGGATTATTTTCAACACAGGTTATACAAAATGTAGGTGTCAAACTCGGGATCATTTGAAGGTGTCAGCAGAACAGTCCTGCCCACCCTGGTGAGAGCTGGCTTTGTTCTGGTTTAGGCAGCGAAAATAACAGACGGACAAAGCAACACAACAGCAGGGCCATGTGGGACATGTCTGGCCTTGAAAATTTAATGAACTCTCATCTTTAATAGCAGGGGTAACATCAAATAATACTRTTTTATGGTGCCTGACTTCTTAGGCTTACATGGCTGTTGTGGTAACTTAATTTTGCTTCTGTTTCATTGCTGCTGTTAGAATGGATACACCCCTCTGCATATCGCTGCAAAGAAAAACCAGATGCAGATAGCTACCACTCTGTTGAACTATGGGGCTGAGACCAACATTTTGACCAAGCAGGGAGTCACCCCACTTCATTTGGCCTCCCAGGAGGGTCACACTGACATGGTGACTTTGCTTTTGGAGAAAGGATCCAACATCCATGTGGCAACAAAGGTAACTCACAATTGGAAACAAAGTACTGAGAGTGGGAGTAWCCAGTAAGATGCAGAGTTTGTGTCCACGGTTAGGTTTAACAACAAGTAYCAGAAACCTGAGAGCTACAGTCTAAAATAATTCAGTGCTCTCACCCGCAAAGGTTCTTTTCATCATGTCTTTATCCTTCAGCTTTTTTTCTAAGTGAAGAAATTTACATTCCCTGGCAAATAGGAAAACAACAGTATTACTGGAATAGACTAAGAAAAAATCTATGGAAGATGTTTCCAATTTTTTTTTTTTTTTAATCATTATGCATGGCAGCTTTTTTATAGGAAACAGGGCCATCAAAAAACCCCCATTACTGTAAATCTTCATGGGTCACTGGGTTTATCCAGGGATATATGCAAATCTTATTTATGCAGGTGAAAAGCCTACAGCTTTTTCTCATACAAGTCAGAATAGAGGGCTCAGKTCTCTCCTTGTGTGKAGTTAATATATTCTGTTAATAGAARCAAGGTGATTTTCATTTCTTATARAAAATTKGTTCARTGCCTTGTTCATGGACAAGCACRGTGCACGTGATYACAATGAGCTGTCAGTTAGTCTGCATCCTTTCYCCTGGCATTTGAATGGAATCTGTTTCTGGAGTTAATGTCTTCATTCTGACTTGTGCGTGCAGTTGTCAAGGCTCCCCATTCTGTCTGAGGAGTGGGAAGTACATTTTATTAATGGACTTCTCAGCTTCCCAAATTACATTATTGTAGAAAATCTGAGCATTRATGCCTGAAAGTTCTCTATGGTTATGGTGATGTAATTGTTTTGTAACAGTTTGTCAGCTGGAACAGGAGCGACATCAACTCTACTTTGTKTAAAAACACCACCCATACTCAGAAGCTATAGTTAGAATCTGTGCATGTTTTAAAGATGAGGAAGTGGGAAAGTCTAGATTTCATTCCTCATGTAAAGTAGGGTTTTATTCTTACTTCTATCTGTTTTTTTTTTGCTTACTGTTATATTCCATCTCCAGGCTGGACTGACATCCTTACACCTTGCAGCTCAAGAGGATAAAGTGAATGTAGCAGAAATACTCACCAAACACGGTGCAAACCAGGATGCTCAGACAAAGGTAAATCACGGAGTGGCTGCTGTCTCCAGCGTGCCAAAGGGTGCTACCCTTGTCCAAGGAATGTTCCACTGAGGTTGCAGTTTTACTTCTTTGTTCTCCTCCTGTAGCTTGGTTATACACCTTTAATTGTGGCCTGTCACTATGGAAACATCAAAATGGTGAATTTTCTCCTCAAGCACGGAGCAAATGTCAATGCTAAAACAAAGGTAAAGAATTTTTCATTGCTTTGCTGTTGCTCTTTATTCTGAACATGGTAACCCAGCACTCCTGTATGCCATAGGTGCCATTTCATTTGGGAGCTMTAACCATGGCATGGGAGGTGTCAGCATAATGGCTGACATGGCTGTAAAGGAATGCCCTCTCTCTGCTCCGTCTCCTGGTGTGGTGTTCAGGAAAGAAAAGCCAGCTAACTCTTTGGGTGTATGAAAAAATTACATCCAGAATCCACTTCATTTTTTTTTTTAATTACTTGCAAACCAACAAATGYAAGTTTGTTCCTGATCTCCTTTACACATGGTGTACACCAGTGTGATAGCACTGTGCTGCCAAACCTGCAAGTAACAATTCAGACACTGTGAGGGTGATGCCAGGTTCTYTCCAATATGCTGGGAGAGGAGTGGGAAGAATAACTGCTGTTCARTGTGTGGGTGAGATGACTCTGGGAGAGGAAGCAGCTGTGGTAGGGGAATGTGGTTTACTAAAGGAGGGCTTGGGGTTTTTCTGAGGGGAGTCTGGCTACACTGAAATGTGTCCAGTTATGTTGAAGTGGGCCTGGCTACCTATAACCAAAGTCTGAACAAAGCCCACTGACTTTAGCAGTAAGGATAAACTGGTGACCTCACCAGCTGAATGGGATGCATTTTGTACCAAGAGTTGTGTATCTTCTGAGAATGCAAAGAGAAGTTTTGGTGGCAGCAACAGTGTGTTGCATCCCAGGAATCATCACATCACCCTTATCAGAAACAGAAGGCTAACTCAGGAGCTGTGGGGCTCCAGCTTMATTAAAGCTGACTTCAGGCAATTGCTGGCTTCAGGCTGGATGTCTTGGGAGTGACAGAAAGCAGCCTAGTGATAGTATYTTCAAGATCCCATCAAAATCACTGRCATCTCATCTGCTGGTCCCTCTGGTCACCTCCCCTGTCCCCACCTGTGAYCTGTGGGACAATTCATTTCTCAAAGTAGCATTATTTTGTCACTGTCGACATAGATCAATATGGTAAGAAACAGCCAAATAAATAAATAAAAGATTCTCATCCATGCCTCATGGGATCACCCAAAATCAATGGGCAAAACTCAGGGATTCCAAAAGAACAGGCAACACTACTAAAAAAAACAGCTGATGAGAATTAATAAAGCAGAACTAGCAGGATCCAAGCTATAGCTGCCAAGGCATTCAGCTGAGGTATTTAGAGGCTAACTCAAGGGACACACTCAAGATGTGTCTTTAGTRTTAGGTCTCTCTTTGTGTTTAAAGGGCCACTGGGACAGATTATGATTCCATTCACCCAGGTATTTCTCTTATTTAGAATAGTTTCATTACAGTCAGCAAGTTTGTATGAGGCAGCAGTTCTCCAAAATCTCACACCTAGGGACCACTAAAAATGTTGGCAATCTGTCAGCTGGCATTGTGGACACAGTTTGAGGAGTAAATCCTGGATTCAGGATAGGCATGTTAAAGAGTGAGKAACCCCTGTTGCAGCTTGGGTTTTAACTAGAGAAAGCTTGCATGATGCTTTGTGTGAACAAATAATGTGGCTGAGTTTTGTTTTTGAAGGACTACACTATTGTTTAAGTAAAGACAGTGAATGTTTTTGCACTAGAACCTACAGTAAATYCTCCTTCAACTTCTTAGCTGTCTATGCATTCATGCTGTCTGTATAAGAACTGTAACAGTTCTGAGCTATCGCTGTCTAATTAGCAGTGCAAAGCATTACTGGCATCTCTTTGCAGCAGAGATAACTCTCAAAGCACGTTTTCAGAGCCTGCCCCAGGCTTTACGTAAGTGTTCAGTGAGATCAACTCAGGGTTTTCTTCCAGCTTCTTCTCTGCCTGCTTTCAAAGCCAATTGCAAATAATTTTGTAAATCAGTTGCCTGACTGGACTTAMACAATACCATCTCAGATCAGGCAGCTTAAAGCACGCTTTGGTTATGTTTCTGTATTGTGTGACACGAGAACGAATCACTGGAGCAGATGAGTATATTGAGTTAAACGTGTTTATTAATGCAGACAATGTGTACGTGTTTCTAAGTGTAATTACAGCTTGGTCCAGCCTTTTGGAGGCAAAGTGAAGCTGAWATTGATTGACATTTGTAATAGGTGTATGTTGTTAGCCTTTTAAAAAGCAAATAGGCTCTAATCACTGCTGTTTAAAATGATATATTTTTTAAATTGGCTCAGCTATTTTAAAAGCAAGTCTTGGGGCCTCTGTTGAAAACTGGGATGTGAGAGGAAGAGGAATGTTCTTTGTCTCATGCCCTTAGCATGCCCCTTTAACTTGGCTGTTCTTTGTTGTTTCTCCCTCTTATTCAGGAAATGAGGGAGAAATGTCTTTGAATCGATTTTTTGTTTTGTGAAAGATKACTTTTAAATAAGAATATTATCTTCCTTTGTATTTTCATTAATCTGGGGAAGGAGAATTATTATTACAGAAGATTTATTGGTTTTGAGTCAATTGATGTCATAATTTATGTTTGAAATATCTCAAAAGGAGCAGAAGGAAGCAAAGTGAGGTGTCTAATCTAACRAGTGGTCGTTGTTCKTTGTTTGCTTTTGCTGTCACCACCRTGGATAACAGAATGGGTACACCCCTCTTCACCAGGCTGCTCAGCAAGGCCACACTCACATCATCAACGTTCTGCTGCAGCACGGGGCCAAGCCCAACGCCATCACCACTGTAAGTCTGTCACGTGCCACTGGGAACTCATCTCCCTGGGCAGTTCTATTCTTTCCTTCCTTAGGGCTTGAGAGYGAGCTGTTGTTCTGGTGAAAGTATTCCTCATCCAGCTGGTTGTCATATGTGGAAATGTCATTTCCTTTGCYTTTCTTATCCTCTTAAGGTAGTCCACATCTGATTTAACTGCGCACTAAGCTAAACGTGAGGCRGAGAAGTGGATTCTGAACTGCAGGATCAGGCTGGCCACAGCTGGCTGTGCTGRGCTTGTTCAGTTTCCCTCTGACTCAACACTTGTGTCTGGAAACTGATACCTCCAGCAGGAGCTTTCCATAAAATCGAGGGCAGTTTAGAATCTGGTTGTTTTTTTTTTTTTAATTTAGACCCAAATTTCTGCCCCTCTCTCCACTGGATCAGTTTCAGGTTCTCAGTGAGTTCACTGAAGTTAATACCTCCTCAAAGACCATCAATAGCTCCTGGCATAGCTCCTTCTCCACAGTCAGCCAGGAATGTGACTCTCTATTTCGTGTTGTTGTTGTTATTAGTCACTTCTAATTGGGTAATCATTAAAATACTGCCAGAGTGTCCAAAACTCCTGTCATTCCCCAGGGTGGATCAGTTTTCTGTGTGCATTTAGTGTGCGTGCTCAAATCAGCACTGGCACTGTGTTTGGTCCTGGAACAGTCACTTGGAATAATCTTGTGTGAAAGTTATCCAAAATATCTGTTTGTGCACTCGATCATCAAGTGAGAGACCACTGTTGTCAGCTTCTGGGGCTGTAGGTACTATTTGGTGTGGTCAGCTGAAGGTCTCTTGACTTGATTTTAGTCCTCACATTGGGGCTGTCATGCCCACATCTAACCCAAGTCCAAGCAGTCTTAGGGTTGTGTGTCTGCTGCACAGTTTGCCTGCGTCCTCAGTTACTAGATCTGTCCCTGTCCACACAGAGCAAACTCTGGCTTGACAAAAGAGAATTGCAACCTGARACATCTGGCAGGGAGATATGAGAGTGGTGTATGAGCAGCTAATGTGAAAGCCACAGTAACAGTCAAATTATTTGTGCTGTGAAGACGCTAATCTGTTCATTTTGTGCTGCTAATCTACAAGCCCTGTGTTGCTTCAGGGTTGCTGAGCTAGACAGAAGATCTTAAATTATAGATAAGTAAAGGCATTGCTAAAGAAGAGAGCCCTCAGGCTAATAACTCTGCACATGGTGCAGTGGGCTCACAAGAGAAATCATTTAGGTGCAAAGAGCGGTACAGTAACATTCCATGATTCCTCAGGAGACCAGCATGTTGTCGCTTGATTCAGTGCAAAATAGCATGGAACAATTCTGTGTAGAGCTCTTTACCAAGAACCTCYTTTCCTCCCCAAGCTGAGTGACACRGGGACCGTGGACTGCCAGTGTTCCAGAAGATGAAATGGGGATAAATAGGCCTAAACTCTTGCTGAATTATTGTGATGTCCATTTAATGAATGGCATGTTTCTATATTATCAACATTCAAAGTGCAAATTAATGTATTTAAATGGAAATATATTCTTGACCCCAAGCCTCTTGYGCTTTGCATTTTTTAAATCATTAGCTTTTGTGAACTGTTGATGGAGAGGAATTTTTGCTGTATGAAGGAATAGGAGTAAATGTGGATGACACAGCTGTAATTTTGTATTCCTGGGTAAGGAATTGTACCTGATAAAGGTGTAACAGTTTCAACTGGAAGTGAAACTGTAGCAGGTTAGAATTATTTTTATTTTTTAGGGGAGTATTTCTGCAAAATAAACCTCAAACTTCTGCAGGCAAGACAGGCTGTATAGTGAAATCTGAGCCCTGAGGGGTTAAACCATACAGCRCTGTAGTATTTGGAATCGCTGGCAGATGTAAGTGTGTTGTGTTACCATGGCAATTGGGGCTATAGTCTTCAAGAAGTTACAAAGACAGAGTCAGATGTAACGGTAAAAAAGCCGTGATTTTCCTAGGCTGTGCCTTGTTTTGGATGGAAATGCTGGCTCATGCAGCGTGGAGAGTGATCTCATTGGTTCACATCACAATCCTCCCTCTCTCTCAGCGCGCTCTCCCCCTTCTCTTCCCTTCAGAATGGTAACACAGCCTTAGCCATCGCCAGGCGCCTGGGATACATCTCCGTGGTCGATACGCTGAAGGTTGTAACGGAGGAGATCACCACCACCACAACTGTGAGTTGCACATGCATTCAAATGCTGCTCTTCTTTACTCAGTGTTGTCTTTCTGCTCTTCTTTCAGCCTCCCCACATACCTCTTTCCTTTTTTGCTTGCTTGGGGGGGTTTTAGGCCCCCTCCGCCCCTTGCATTTTTGCTACAGTGCTTTCAGTGTATCTTATAAGCATGTGGAAGTGTGTGCAAGGCAACAGGCTCCCCTGAGCCACGCAACCAAATCTGTGTGCACACCGATAGAAAACAACAATTCAGATTTCAACTTGTTTCTRCATCTGGGTCTGAGCTGCAAACCCAAACTTCCCAGAAGTTTGTGCGTTGCTGTTTAGATCCCGTCCTGTTTTTTCTCTTTTCACCTCTCTTTTCCCATCTGGCCTTACATCACACATTTGACACCTCCTGAAGCTCAATCCTTGCAGCATCTCTACGTTTGGACTGTACGAGCCATGGCCTGGAGCCAAGTCTAGTGATGCTCATTGGATGGCTGTGAATCACATCCATCATCTTCTTACTCAAGTCACTTCCAGTTCAAACAGATCCTGTTTTTCCAAAGTGCAGAGGAATACTTCCTTATGGGCTCAGTCCTCTCAGTGCTCTACGCTCTTGGCATGTGTATTTTGACGTCAGGATTTGTGAGTAGTGTGTGCTCAACCATTAGCAATGTGGTACTGCAGCTTTAAGCCAGGACAAGCTGRTCTATTTGGACACCCTGGGAGGGGAAGGTTTTCCCTTCTTGCCCTTTTACCTCCCATCTACACGTCGTAGCAGGTAGGAAGGGAGAACATTAGAAAAAGTGCATAATTAAAAAATTAAATTCAATTTAAATCTTAGTTACTGCAGTTATCTTGAAACACTGCTGTAAGGTCATACTTTTTCATTTGTATTCATTTTATTYTTTTTAAATACAAGATYAGCAGTCTAGAAACCCCATCAGCTCTGGATGACATTTAGGAGCTCAGAGCTGTAAAAATCCATAGATTACTAAAAAAGATACCACTGCTCAGTCATGGAGAGGGTTAGAAGAAGAGGAGTCCAAAAATCTCTCATAAAGAAATGTAATTTCATTTTGTTGCATACTGACAGCAAATCCTACTTGATATGAACTGAGGAAGATGCAATAAAGGTAACATTGCATAAGGTTACAAATAGAATGAGTCATAATTTATTAATGACCTGCAAAGATTAGGCTGAGTCAGGTTTGGACAAGGAATTCAGCATAAYTCCAGAAGTTTCTTAATAATGACTRTATGTTTCTGTTTTTATTGCTTCCTATTCTTATTTCATCATGTAGCACATCACGCATGTACACGTGTAAACACACGAATCTAATCAGAAACTGAAGAAAATTAAACCTAGGGAAAATTTTTTGAGAAACTTTATCTCTTATATTTTTAAGCTTCAGAGGACACCTTTGTTACATCTTCCATGCTGTSTTGTGGCACATGTTTTTCATTTATTGTTTAATAAAAGTAGTAACTTTTTTTCTCCTATACACGGTTTGACTGCAGCCTTGTGCTTTGTCTCGTGTGTTAGATCTGTGTAATAATAGGGCTTACACTGTGAAAAAACACCTGTGAGTTATTTACTTTGGATAAATATTTCTTTAAACATTGAGGATTAATGAATTTTTCTACCAGATACTTGATGCYTGGGGTTTAGAACTGAATCAAGTACCAAAACCTACTAGCAGAGTTGACCTTTAATACTTGCACACAAAGAAAGCTGAAATCTTGATCTGTGTCTGCATACTTTTAAACTCAGGTGGGAGCTCTAAATGAACTCAGCAGATTCTCCAGCTATGAATTCACCTAACCCTTGTACCTTAGGGATGTATGGAATGGTGGTGTTTGTGGCTGGGGATGTTGATTAAACATAATTTAGAGCAAGTCCTGAAAAAGAGGGATAAGTAGCAGGCCCTCCCAGCAGTCAGGTTCTSCAGATGGTGAGGGTGGTGTTGCCAAACCTGAGCACAGCGTTGAGCCCTGAAAGAAGGTGCTGTCACCATAGCTACCTCATTCTCTGAGGCTGGGCTGAGCCCTGCACTGAGGATGTTACACAGCCTGATGCTTGATTGATATTCAAGTCACTGGCACTTGAGATGAGGAAAAGATCTCTGGTGCCAAAGCCTTTCTTTGCTCTAACTTGGAACAAATTTTCCTCTTACTTGCATAAGTGCTGTTATTAGCAGAGCCACATGAATATAAAGCAATAGAGAGARTAAAGTGCACTTTTTAAACTGAAAGTTTAGAGAGCAATAGGAAATAAATCAGAATAAACTGGACTTTCAGAGGTTTGCTATGCAATTAAGTTTGGGGCCATTTATACAAACAAGCATAGTMTTTCTGTGGACAAATTAATTAATGAGAAGCTTTCAGGTTGTTTACAGTATGCTGCTGTGAATAAATCATTGCTGAAAGAACGTACAGGATGATATACCTGAATTATGTATCTGAATTATTCTATGCTGCCCAATGAAAATCTGGCCTTACAATGAAAGGCTTAAATACAGAAACCTGAAGTAAACTCCATAATGGAATTCTCAGTGGCACTAAACAGCRGGGAGTTTGAGAAATACACATTGAGCATTTTTCCACGTGGGCCATTTGTGGGGCTAGATACAAATATTAAATTTTGAGTGTTTGATGTGCCTATCAATTAAAAAAAATGGTAGTATCATATTAGAAGTTCCTTTAAAACATTAATTCCCAACTGAAGTTGTTTGGATTAGAATTAATGTAGAATTAATGAGTAAATAGAATTAAAAATTAGATGGGATTAAAGATTCCTGCCGAGTTCAGTGTTCCAAAGATGGCATTGGAGATTGTTTGTTCTTCTGAAATGTGTATGTGCACACACACTCTTTTGAGTCTCTTTTTGAAGCTTTATTTCAGTTGTTAAATTATGTATTTTTTTTTCCTTACTGATGGGAAAGTCAGGAAGTCAATAAAGTCTTCTTTCTTCTCTGTAAATATATAATAATRATGTCTGCAAGCCTTAGTTGGAAACCAGACCATTTTAATATGGGGGCCTGTAAAAACCTGAGTAACAAATAAATGGATGTAATGGTCAGTAAACCTTGGTTACCTGGGTGATAGAAAAGAGGACAGTGATCCTCTCTACCTGCAGCTTGTGCTTTARCTTAGCTGATTGTGAAGCTTATTTTATAACTATTTGTTGAAGAGACAAAGTCAGTGCCACCTGAATGACAGCACCTCCCCATCTGTCATCGCTGGCCTTGTCACCCCACTGCTGCCTGACATTTCTATCCCAGGAAAGCCATGGGAATACGGGGGAAAAGTCAATCATGTGATGGAGGCATTTGGTGAATATAAACTGCTTTGCAGCCCYGAACATGTGTTCTGCTGCAACAGAAATAATTAGTTGTTTTTACTCACGGGGAAGAGTGAATTCAGGAGCCTAATTGGCATTGCCAATTGAGGCAAAGGGCATTGTTCTTTCCCTGTACCTCAGGAGGGTGAACTGGAACTGCTGTCACAGTTAAACAGATTTCAGAAATGTAAAGCAGACTTTTAAAACAAATTTCCAAAGTAATTACACGGTTGGTAACTTATTTATGAAAGTGCAGTATTTTACAATAAACGAGAATGCTGGCTTTGTCAGTTTGTTAGAAGTAGAGAAGTACATAATAGGATCAGGAAATAACTAGTAAGTTCTGTGCAACAAAAGCTGCTCTTGACTTCACTGCTGGATATTGGTGGGCATTTCCCCAAAAGAATACTTCACAAGGGACTTGGGGTTTGGCTGATTTAATTATCTCTCGCATGAAATGCTTTCACTCCTTTGCAGGTAGTGTTCATTTATGCACTATAGACGGTATCTGCAGCAGGGAGTGAGCACTGCCTCAGAGGGACTTTCACCAAAAGCCATGTGGCAGAGGGCCATCTCTGCTCCCATGCTGGCTGCCCTGTGCAGCTCCCCAGCTCAGCTGCAGAGCTGGGTGCAGTGGGGGAAATTGGTACTTTTGGGTTGTGACTAAGGCACCTCTGATCACGGCTCCTTTTTAAGCCCTTGGCATTTTGTCCCCTGTATCGTAACACACTGATGAGTTCCCTCCAGGCAACTTTTTCACATCTTGCACTTCCTACGGTTTCTCTCTTTATGTTCTTCATCTCCTTCTCCAGTCTGAATTTGGGTGCTAAAGGGATATCCCCATTCTTGATTCAGCACCCCTGGACATCTTCTGTTTCCTTCTAAAAGTCATTTATGAAGAAAAAATTACATTTACAAAAAAACAGCTTCCAGTGTTTTCCTGCTCTGTGCTCTCATGTTTAACCAGAATCCTCCTACTATTCCTCATACTTGCCTTGATTAATAATGTTATAAGCTTTTAGGTGCACAAAATATTTCAGAATCTTCAAACAACTTTTTTCCTCTGATGTGTATATGCATTGGGGCAATATACATGATTTATTGAAAGGATATCATTAATATGCACTGTAGTCACCTTTTTTTTGGAGAGGGGAGAGGAATGTTTCAAGTGATCTGTGTAAATCCTTCACATATTTTTTTAGTTAAGGAATTTCACATCATTCATAACTTCATTTCCAAATGCTTTACAATTTAATAATTTCCATATGCCACATACAACATTCTGATCTTCTTCTGTAGACATTACCTAATTCATTTTAAAATCATCTTGGAAACATTGAGCTGAATTGTTCTACATGCACCATTTATAAATAAATTTTATTCCTTTGACCAGTTCATTATCTTAAGTTTTTGTACTTTTCTTCCAGAAGAAAAGTTATCTTTTAGCAAACTTCTGGAATAAAGATGAAAAAGAAAGTTAGGGAAGGGGAAACATGTTATGAAATGCCTCAGCACATCCCACTGCTGTGTCTGTTGAAAATACACTGCTGTAAACTTTGCTCCTCGATTTGGTGTTTCATTTGAGAACTGAGGATTCTGTCTTTGCAGACTGTAACAGAGAAGCACAAGCTAAATGTACCTGAGACAATGACTGAGGTCCTGGATGTGTCGGATGAAGAAGGTGAGTGAATATGCTAAATTCCTCTTCCATATCACCYCTGTAACTTCTTATATGTGCTCAAGAAGCTGCTTGAGTACTCTGACATCTTCATTTTTCAGTGCTTGAAATGAATTCCTTTTTTAAATGATGTAATCATTATGGTATTTGGATAAAGATGCCAAAATTTGACACAAAGCAAAATCCCGGACCCCTATATATTTTTCAGAAATAGCTTAGCTGAACCAAAGGGGTAAATGAGAGCAGTTCCCAAATCCAGGTTTTAAAATTTTGGTGTAGAGGCGTCCCAAAGGTGGCTTTGACCCTCCCATTAAGAGGAATCTGAGCTATAATTTTTTTTGGATCTGTGCCATCTTTATCAGATACAAATATCAAGGAATTTTGCGTAATTGGAAACATTTGTGTAAGAAGATGCATAAGGTGGAGGGTGAGGAGAGCATTCCCTTGAGGGAGCTTTTGGCACGGGGGCTCACGGATACACTCGGCATGATACAAAATAACAAACTGATTATAAGTTTGGCACTTTGCTTTTAGAGGCCATTGCATGTAGGGACGTGAGACGTGTTGTGCCACTTAGCTGCATCCCAAGAAAATTTCTGTGAACTTCTGGCAGGAGTGATGAACTATCACCCTTTTATACAGCTCAGAATTGCAGAAATGGCCTAAACCCTYACCTTTCTAACAGTTCACAAGTGACTTCTTAGAAATTTCAGTCACAACAGTATCTACTACATAGAAACACATTTGGAAAGATTTTCTGTGTTCTTTTTTGCACTTGGCAGTTTAATTAATATTACAGTATCTTATGTGTGCCATGTTATGGTGGTTGTTATTATTTCATGCAGATAATTTGTAGAGTGAGTGATTTCCAGAAAGTCCTGGGGATTTAGGAGCACAGGATACAGTGTTGGTATTTTTCTTTTACAAAGAATGCAAATGCACTTGTGTTTCTAAATGATGCATGAAGTTAATGGCATTCATTAATTACAATTACTCATATTGCTTTTAGAAATGGGATTTATGCTGATAAATAAATTACACTCTTGAGAAATAAGATGCTTAGGCTCCAGAGGCAACTTTTTTTGTTTTAAAGTGCAAAAGCAAACAAGTGTGATTCAAAACCAGTTATTTTTGCTGCATCGTGACCAGTGAAATTATTTTGCTACTTTGTCTCTAACTGAGAAACATTCAACTGCTTGTGTAATTATGTTGAATCGCCTTTAAATTGCTTCTAGGCTTATGTTCACCTTGCTGAGTTTTCGCTTTTGATCTACCCTTGAATCATCTTTAAATCTACCAAGGCTAGTGTGTACTGCTTCTACAGGATTAATCCAGAGTGTTCCTATTTCTCAAACCAATTTGTGTGTTGTGCAGCCTTTAAACACTCTGATGAGGAACCCTTCAGCGATGGGGAAGCATATAGKGGCACAGGTGCTGTTAGCAGGAGTTCGTGGAGTAAGAACTATAGATTTTGTCTTTTTGTTTAACTCAGACTATTTAATTTCTTTTTTTGTGTTGAGACAATACAAGTTTGCATAATCTGGGTGCCTAACACTGCTCCTCTCCATTATGTTTGAAGTGGCTGAGTGTGTGTTTACTGAAAGGTGGGAGGAGGAAGGGAAGCCAGAAAGTCTCAGATTTATTACCTATATCTTGAATGTGTTGGCAGAACTTGAAGGGGCTGTTCTGCATGACTAATGCTCTCCAGTGCTCTGAATTAACATTCACTGCAACATTTCCTAACGTGGATGGTGCTTGTCACAGTAACTTAAAATAGCTGGGGACAGGAAGGTTGCAAAACTTTTTTAATAGAGTGGATGAACCTTTCAATGGTGATGTAGGCTAGCAGCAAGGTTTCTGTGATGCTGTGTTCTTCAAAGTGACACAATATGTTCTGAAGTGAATCAATGTGCTGCTGCAAACCTGCCAGCTGTATTTATATAATTATCAACAACACAAGAGTACTTGAGCAAAGAAGTATTTCAGGTCCCATTGTGGAGCATGTTCATCACTGACGATAAGTGTTTTGCATTTTGCTTGGAAGATACTTACATTGCATCATTGTATGCAGTCACGTTGTTAATATAGTATTCATATTCCTAATACAAATTAAAGTTARTGTTCAGTCTTAGCAGTATAAAATAAAAAAAAACAAATATCTATTAAATAGCTTAGCTTGTTATGTATAWAATATAACCAAAGGATGCTGATTTACAGAAGTAAAGCTTCCATGGCTTAGGGACCCAGGGACAGTTTGATCTTTTATCCTTTCTTAMCTAGATCCAATGTAACAACTTCCTAAATACCACAGTAGCCACTTTTMAAGTACTGGAATTCATTTTGCCACAGATTAATTTGCAAGAAAACAAAATCAAGGCATCTCTCTCCCCACAGATCCTTGAGAGTACAAATACTCTTCTAATTTAGATTTGTTTCACCCTCTGTCATTCTGTGAGTGCTGCTCTGAGCTCCCAATAGCTGACATGATKATTCATTTTATGTCATGTATCAATATCTGAAATCACACGTGAAACCACACATGACCCCCACTTTTCCTGGCTGGCTAAAAATAAAGGAAGTTCAAGCATTTGCCAAACTGTCATCCAGGAAAGCTTCTAGTGTGGCCCACTAAATAGGGGATTGACTTCAGAGGAGTGAAGGTGTCCAAAGAAAGTGTGAGAGAAACTCTGCAGTGAGGGAATATGTGTTCCATAGAAATTGTTCTTGCCATAGCCGTCCTTTCTCCATCTGTTACTGCTAAGGAGCTGCTCTTCTGTGGTGAGCTGTAGACTTGTCTGCATGCTGCAGAGAAAACAATAATTTTGGCAAACTCACATCATTGTATCTGGCTTCAAAAACATCTATTAAATACAATTTCTGGCAGTTTGACACTGGCCCCTTTTCCTTATTATTTTATTTTAAATTTTTTTCTATATTTTCTCTATGTTTTGTGAGAATTCCAGAGCACTTTTCATTCAACAGTTGTATTTTGCAATTTTGCAAATTCGTAGATGGCCAGGGCAAATTATGGACCATCAATGTCAAGGGTTATATTTGTCACAAAGTGGTTAGTGAGGGGTGGAAATGTTCCTGGCAATTATTTGGTGGGGAATGTGATGGCAGACGGATTGTTTCTGGCATGATTAAAAAGGGCAGTTCCTGTATCACCACAAAGCACCCATCTGGTAAGATCTGCTGTGTCAAGAAGCTCTTGGTCAGCTGAACATGCAGCCATTTACRCTTAAATACCTATTTTTTCTGTTTATGTACAAGGAGGCACTGTGTGTTTTGGGCGTTCATCTCAGTGAGGACAGAGGGAAGGGCACAGGGGGTCGATGGGGAGTTCCCTCTGGCCGCTCCTGCTATGGCAAAGATATCTCTGCATGCTCTGGTTAATGTTTGCAGATGTTCCCATCACATCAAACACTGCCACTAAGCCCTGCTATTGACARCTCTCAGATGAGAGGCCAAAGCTGAAATCAGAGGAAACTTTGGATTTGGGTTTTTTTTTWAAAGGTTGTGGGTGTGATGAAAGTGGTGAAGATTTTGCCTTTGTTTCTGTTACAGATGGAATGTCTGGAATGATTATAATTATCTAGTTTATTTGAAATATAACTTGAAATTCCTTTCACTGTTTGATTAACAGCATTGCCTTAATATCTTCCAAGTTTTCACTAAGCCCTGTGCTTTTTAGTGTGACATTCCCAGGAAACAGGAGGCATCATCTGTCAGAAGACAGGAAACATGAAATGATTAAATGCATTTTATTGTTTTCTGTGAAACTGTGCCCAGTTTCTCCCTCTTAATGTGGGCAGATGGAATTTTCAAGAGTTTTGTTGTTATACTGAAAAGATTCRAGACTCACTTTTGAATATAAGTATATACATAAAAATCTTAACCTCCCCAAAGTTTACTTAGTTTATATGACAAATAATGCATTATTTATTTCTTAGCTGAAACATCAGGCTAGAAAAACTACCTTGATTTGTTTTGTGAGAACAAGTGTCAAGATGAGCTTCAGTTTGCCCACACAGCCTAGAAAATGAGAAGGGTTGAAGCTCTTGGTGGCCTGGGGTCATGTTGTGTGKCTCTGTGGGTTGCTCCAAGCCTCTGGCAGGCTCATCCAGCAGTAATTTATCAGCGGGAAAATGACTGAAATTTCCAGGCAGAAACTGTGGAGAGGAAGTGTCTTGCAAGTGGGAATGAAAAGAAACATCTACACGTTGCTTGGCAGTAGAATCTGTTTTGTTAGTCTGCTGGGGAAAAGCAAACTGTGACTTCATATAGACAGAATTTCCTGGGGAAAAGAATTTTGGACCAAAAAAAAGATTAAACCCTATTATGCAGAGTATATGCATAAAGGTTACTGTGTCAGAAAACCAGTGATCATTCAGACTGGGATTCATTATGAATTATGATCRTTCCCATCTATGCAAGTGAGCTAAATTCCAGTTTCTGAATCTTGCCACGTTCTAGAAATAAGAACTTTGTTGAAGATCACAGAAAGTTGTTGTAATACAAGTGACAGAACCTCACATAATGTGCAGGTTGCATAGTGAAGAGTTTAAATTAGCCTTTGCAACTRTAAGGCATAAGGCCACAGAAAACAGGTTTTCATCTGAGAACACATAGATTATGGTTAAAAAGTGGTGGTATTTAGCCATAAACTTTCAGGCTGAGATACAGCATAGCTGTGTCCRTAGAGCTGAAATGGATTAAGGAACAGAGACACCACACTTTAGAGCATAGTAAAGGAATATTCCCCTTGCCAGTGTCTGCAACAGAAAAAATATATGAAATCTAACTGATTAATCACCTTGATTTCAATTCTTTTTTTTTTTAAGTATCTTGCTTGGTGTGCCATTTTTGTTAAATACATTAATTGCTTGTGGTTTGCAGTGTTTCCTGAKTGGAAAATGCCTTCCTGTTTATTGTACCATCCAGCCGTTAGATCCTGATGTGCCAATGGAATCAAACTCATGTGTGTGCTTATCTGTGTCCCCTGTGTGCTTGGTTTGCAGGTGATGACACAATGACAGGAGATGGAGGGGAGTACCTTAGGCCAGAAGACCTGCGGGAACTGGGAGATGACTCTTTGCCCAGCAGCCAGTTCTTAGATGGAATGAACTACCTGAGGTACAGCTTGGAAGGAGGACGCTCTGACAGGTATTTGCTTGGATAATAACTTTTCTCCCAAAAAATCTGCACTTGTTTTGCTGTTAGCATTTGAAATCCCTTTTCAGTATCTCTCTGCTTGGGGTGCACTTGCCAGCATTTTTTTATTTGGTGTGTCAGTGTGGCAGTCATCACTTTGCAGGAGGAAGGTGTGGCCATCCTCATCTCCTGCTGTCACAAGTCAGGAGAGGGGTGGACAGGGGTTTGGGTATCAAGTGAGATGACTGGAGTGCTGTGCTGGCTCGAGATAGCAGGAGAGGAGCAATGGACATGGTCATTCTACACTGGGCTTGCAGTGAGGATATTGTCAGCAAGCACCTCCACTCTTTCTGGTTCCTCATGGTCCAATTAGCTGTAAAAAGAATAATTGTCCTTCTACTGATACAGCTATATGAATAAAAAYAAAATAGAAACATTAATGTGTTCAGTCCTGACAACATACTGATTTGCTTGTATCTAACATACTGATTTGCTTATATCTAACAAGTTGAACTTAAACCTAGATGTCTTTGTGGAAGAATAATGCCTGCAGCTTTAATTTTTTTTTTTTTTTTTTTTTTTTTGAAGAGTGTCACTATAGTCTAAAAAAAATATGGACTTCCTTTCCCAAATGGGAGCCTTCATTAGTGAGCATAAGTGTAGGCTCAAGTTTTACCTCCCACAGTTCTAGTTCAGAATAACCACCCAGGCATTCATGGGTATGAAATATCTGGTGTAAATCAGCAGTGTTTCCAAACTCACTGCCATTAGAACTGGGGTACACTAAAGGGAATAAAAGAAAAAAAAAAGTTGAAATCTTGGCAACAGAATTTTGAAGCTACCTTGTTTTCCAGCCTTGGTCATTATTCTGGCAGCCTTTCCAAAGCTCAGTGGAATCAGTAGGATCCGTTCTATTTACTTGAGTAGGCTGTGAATTGCTCCTGGAACAAAAGATGTCAGGAAACAGTTTGGTTTGCCTCACAGCATGTGTAAATCCCATCATTGAGGTCCCACAAGCCTGGAGTCTCTGTTGGTTTTTAGACAGTTCCAGAGAGTTCACTGAAAACAAAGTGACTGTGTGACTTTTTAACTCTCAGAGGAAGTTTATGAACTACATCAGAATGCCTAAAATCAAAACCTTTTATTCTTTCAATGGTAGCAAAGTTGRGAGTTTTTTAGATTTTAAGATGTTGTGTACAAATGATGGTGCAGGCAAGTGTTAAGCCAGTTTAAGCTGAACTCCAGTTTAGAGTTTAAATCTTGTCAGTGGATTTCAATAGATTCTCACTGACATATCGTTGATATGGTTTAATTTGTGTTGCATGAAAATGATTTCAAATCCTGTATCAAGCAAGGGTGTATTGAAATGAAGCGAAATGCTAAAGGAAGAAAGAATGAGAGAAGATCACCTTTCTAACTCCATGGTCTCATCTTCTGTCACCTTCAGGTTACTGATTGTAAGAATTTTCACAGAGACTTCTTCAGTTTTTTTACATTTCCTTTAATGTGAATATAATCTTTTCATTGCATTATGGCTTTGTTTCTTCAGGAAATTCAGTAAAGCAGAACAGTAAAGCATTCTAGACTCATGTAATCTTACGCATTAAACAATTTGATTTAAAAACATGTATTTTTCATTTGTAACCATCTTCCCTATTTATTTTATTTCTCTCTCTCCTTCATTTTTCTTTTCCATATGCTTTCATTAGCATCATGCCCAGGTAGGTATTACATAGCATGAACATCTGTTGTCTCTATCTCTTCCTATGGCACCTGTCTCTGTTCATGCACTTTGGAGGCCTTCTGGATGCAGAAAATTGATTTGGAGGACCAAAGGAATAACGCTGCTGTTGAGAAACATTTTCAAGTTCATTTATCCAGTTTTCAGTGACCTAGGGTTTTTTTCTCAGCTTCTGAAAGAATGGGTATAAATATGACTTACATGTAAACAAGAGATATGCTCAACTGGATTAGATCTTGTTAGGTCTTTGTCTAGGTTGGCAAGTGGGTGTGCACTGCAAAACCCTCAGCCAAGCAGATTAGAAACTTGGCATGGGGATGGTACTCCTATTTTCTGGATACCACCAGCACTTTATTCAGGCTTTAGAGGTGGGTGATACATGCYTGTGCACTCTTATGTTCAGGAATCATGCAACATTCCTGGGTTCTGCAGTTCTGTCTCTGGGGCTGAGGGCTATTGGCCCCATAACCCTTCAGTCTTCAGATTTATTGACTTCATTTGAGAAGAATCTGTATTTAGATGTTTGTCTTTTGTCTGATTTAAGTAAGCTTTTTGTATTTAGTAGGATTCCTGAATACTTATGACAATAATAAACAGTAAATTTTGTATTCAGTCTGTAAGTGGACTGTCATTTCAATCAGTGCCTTTATTCCTAAGTCTGAGCAGCACAAATCTTTTAACTCCTGGTTTGTTCTTTACTGAGTTGGTCGAGAGCACAGATAAGGGCAGTGCCATATGAGCACTACTTTTGAAATTGAGTGTAGCAGGAAATTTAAACCTGTAACTACCTGCAAACCTCAGTCATGAGTGTGCCTACCCTATCTGCAGATAAAGGCCATCCCCTGATGTATTTATTAGAGTTTATGTACAGGTACTACATAGCAAATAGCTCTGGGCTACTCGTTGGGGCAGTAGTAGCAGTGAGGATAGACAGAATCACCACAGGGATAACCAGCCAAATGCAGTTCAGGCTTCTCTTCATTTGGTATCTGTCCAGGATGTGGTGTTAGCTGAGTAGCAGAACCTACAGCTTGGATGGTGGCTCTCTCACGAGCATTGCATGGCTCAGCAAAGCAATTCTGGAAGTGTCAGACATGGAAATGAACACAGGATAATGATGGCAAATGGGKTCTGCTACTGAGGCTCATTTCTCAACCAAAGAAAAAACGTTTCTTTTTGGTTTGTTTGTTCCTCAAGGCTTTCTGAAGGCTGATGGTTGTGTAATGCCTGTCTTTGCTTTCAGTTTTGTAAAATCCACCTGGGATGCTGAGCAGGCCATTGGTGTAAGCCAGTGATCAACAGCACTGATTATTCTTCAATGTCAWATATTTCCAATGAAAATAAGATAAMCATTTGCTTCTAAAAATGGAYCAAAAAATKACTAGGTGAATGTAGTTATTGTTAAAAAAAAGCTGTGATTTGAATCAGATGGTATTTGATATGCCCTTAAAGYATTTGAAACTCACATCCATAATGAATGCACGACTTTTATTGCTAACTGCTGAAAATGAGTTATCCCTTAAACCTCTGTGTATCTGGATAAATGGCCTATTGTTCCCATCCAGCATATTAGTCATGATGAGTACTACTCAYGGATTGTAAGCCAGGAACACACAACTGCTTCCTTCAGTTGTAGGTACCATATTCTTCAAGGTCTAGATCAACATCACAGAGTTCACGCACAATATCTGAAGGTGGATGATTTGTTTTTGAAAATGAGTGTTGTCATACTGCAGTTAGTGAATATTGAAAGGGCAGAACTCGTGCTATTTGGTAGCAGAAACCCCATTTTCCTCAATATATCCTTCTGTGGTGTCTTGTCTTTTTATTTTTTTCTTTTTTTTTGCTTTTTGCTGGTGGATGCTGCAGTTACATTCTGAGCCAGTGCTTGGAAGCAGCTTATTTACTGCCTTGCACCTCTCATTGCTACAGCAACCAGTGCTCTGTAGAGCTGTGTGTACTTACAGTGATATCAGTGCTCCTGTTGGGGCTGTCTCCCTGCACATGCTGTTGGTATTCCGAGGAGGATTCTGTTTTACACAGGAGCTTGTGGCTGGCCACACTTCACCTTGCTGCGTGTACCTTCCAGGGGAYGTCAGGATTACTGATCTACACTTTAGGGGGCGAGAGTAGGTCCTAACAGAGCTTCAGAATTGTTTCAGCTTTTCTTCAGGTGGTGGCATTCTGGTTTTCCATAGTGGTTTGCTTGTGTGATGCAGCAGAGAAYTTCTCCAAAGAGCCTCACTTAACAGAAATGAGTGCTCTTGATTATAAGGAAACCATTCATGCCACAAAGCCAAATCTAAAGTATTTGTGAATATAAAATAAACTGTTGTCTAGATTAATCTCTAGGTGCTGCATTTGGAGGTAAATAGGTCAGTGCAAAGGCTTTGTGGCCCATGGTCAGACAGGTGGCACAACACAGATATGCAAAGCTGTGTTTCCCCTGGCTGTGCTCTGCTCCCCCTGGAAGCTGCATGGTGTTGCTAATAGCACGCTTTTCTCATTCTCCCACTCGATCTGTCATGACACCTTTGCAACATCCTGTGTGCTGCTGATGCATTGCTCTGGCACCCTACCAACCTTCCAGCCTGCGGTCCTTCAGTTCCGACAGGTCCCACACGCTGAGCCACGCCTCCTACCTGCGYGACAGCGCCATGATCGACGACACCGTGGTCATCCCCAGCCAGCAGGTGAGAAACCTCTCAAAGCCCTTCTTGTCTGTGTAGATCAGGAAACAGGGAAAGGTTGCATTGGTGAGACTGTGTGGTGTATGCTGCTTTGTTTGTTTGAGTACAAATCTCTCTATTTTAATGGCATATTGTGCTGTGCAGTATTGTGCTCTATTCCAAAATAAATGACACAGGGACTGTCTTCTTAATGTTCTCTGTTTTAACTGATTTTTCTAACAGCTATCAGGCTAAATATTCAGGGGATGTAATGAACTCCTAACTATTGTCCTAAAAGATAATCTCCTGAAACATGTTTGTAGATAAATAAAAGAGATTTAGGAAATGCGCTCTTGGTAAATCACAGCATTCATTTCACTGAGACTACTAACATAGGATTACTTTAAGCAAATACAAAAGGATACAATTAGGGGTTTCTAATATCTTAATGCTTTTAGTACTCTTCTGTTTTTTAAGAAAAAAGTTTAAGTGCTTTAGGCACTACTATGCAAAATACGTATAATTTTTTGTCCATTAATTGATTTTGTTGTAGTAAAAAGGTTATTTTTTACTTCCCAAGGTAACAACTCTGGCCAAAGAAGCTGAAAGAAATTCATATCGTTTAAGCTGGGGCCCTGAAAACTTGGACAATGTYGCCCTTTCTTCCAGCCCTATTCACTCAGGGTGAGTGTATCCATTAGCATTACACTAAAAAGTGAAAAAGCGTACCTGTCGTGACAGCAGCCTCAACTAATGCTTCACTAGGAGCTGTATTTTAATTCATTGCCTCCTGGAGCTGGCAATAAATTGTTATGATCTCTTAAGCTCTGACAGTCAAGCAAGCCTGTGTAACAAGTCTTTTCACTGAAATCACTGCAAGTCACTAAGCATTCAGTTGAGTTCAAGGGGAATGAGTGTGATAAATGGCACATACACGCGGGCATTTGTGTGTGTTTTATGGAGAAATAAGTACATTGCTTTTTAGAGTTAGTAATAACTGAGACCYGGGGCTTAATCACTCCAGATGGTGAGTACTTACCATGTTGGTGGAGTAGCTGAGGTGAGCAGCAGCTCGTGTCTGCCCTCTAAATTACATGAATAGACAAGCAACCTAAACATCGTGAGCTTTGCACGTATCTGGCCACTCTCTTCATGTATTCTCACAACTGACTCTTTGTAAGCATTTGCTTTTAGGCAAACTCACTGTCATGGCATAAAGCAGGTCAAAATGCAGTACGAGTCAAGTTCATATTAAAAAACCTTATCTTGGTTGGCCTTAAAATCTGTGACTGCATTTGTTTTAAATGCTCTTACTGCATTTGAAGTCATTTTAGTGTTCACACTGAATTCTACACTTGTGTCCTGCAATCAGATTGGATGGGCAATGTGCAGATAAATTCAGAAGAAACTGGAGAAATTAAAAAGCATTTGATCTCTATGAGCTGTGTACACAGCATGACTGGACAGTAGGAGGGGAAAGATTATTGTTGTTAATCTCAGTTGAGTTTGCCAGCATCTTACAGACTGTATTTTCAAAACYSCATCACTGGAGTCCCATTTGGAATGACAGGCAGTCCTGATCTAGAGCAGGGACAATATTGCCAAATKGATTCACGTGACAGATGAGAAGTTTGTTTGTTAGCTAATCGTAGGATATTTGGTTGTGACCAGTGCTGTTTGGTTTTGCTTCTCATGAACTCTAAAACTAACAAATGAAATGAAAACATTTGATATGTAAAGTATGTATGTGTTTCTATATATGCTGGTATGAAAGCTTTAAAATTGCTCTAGTGCTTTATTCTAACCCGAAAYAGTTTACAGACTTTTTCCAAAGGATGTCTTAGTTTTCCCTTTCWGAAAGGTAGGTCTTTGCTGTGATTGCAGAGGATGAATTGAATACTTTYTAGAAGAGTGGCATTTATTTCTTGGATGTGCAATCATTTTATGGTTTTCTTTTAAAAAATATGAGTGATTCTGATCTTTCGGGATGACCCAGGATGCCAGCATAGGATCCCTGATTTCAATAGGAGCAGCACTCTCTGCACCCTTAGATAGAATTAGTGACTTTTAACACAATACAAATTATATTCTTCTTTCTATACATACACACTACCTTGCCACTAAATATTTAATAAAGAAACTTATAACAACTATTCCTCAGCTGTTGAAAGAGATCTTACAACACTTCATTTTTAACTTGTTTAGATTGATCTGAGTCATTTAGTGATAATAAACTGTTGGAGTGCATCTCTTAGGAAAGTACATTGACTACTAGAGTTTTGCTTGTAAGACCTTGTTTTAAAAGCGAAACAGTTGTAGAAGTTAATGATTGTTGCACTCACTCTGCTGGAATAACAAATGTATTTGTGATTTATAGCCTTGTCATCATCCACATGCAGACACACACCGTGGGTTCTTATGAAGCAGCAGCACTGCTGACACTTAGGGGCATGCAGTGAAGTATTTAATGGTCATGAAAAGAAACTCTTAGAATTTTCAAAGAAATCATAGATAGACGTTGTCAGTGGTCCTGTGCAAGGGTGTGGCCTTGGTTTTGCCCAAAACACTGAAAATGTATTGAATTTGGGTTGTATTTTTGGGAAATAACATATCAGCAAAATATCAGGCAGTAATTGATTTTTCCCAGATGTAATAAGTTTGCATTCTGTACAGTCTGAGGAAAGAAATGACCCTCTTCTCTCCCTGCACCAGTTCAGTGGTGAACCCCAAATTACTGTATGGTCCGTACTGATGTCCCATTATAGGAAAGTGTTTCTGTGGATCACAGTGTAACACCCCCAGGCAAGAGGATAAATTCATAGAAATCTCTCCTCTTGGTGTGGAATTTCTCAGGCACATATTTCAGCCTGTGCGTAACTAACCAAAACTTCTTCCATGTCTGAAATTTGAGAAGGGAAAATGTTTTAACCATCCATTTAAAATTTMAATGTAACTGTTCCTTCAATATGTTGATAATTTCATCAGGAAGGAACAAAATGGAAGTTCTTTAGACAGAGTCTTAGACAACCATTTTGAAACTCCAATAATGTTTCTGTCTTAAGAAATAACACTTGTGATTCTCAAAATCTCAGCATAAATGTCTCCTGGTCATTTTAAACAGCTGACAGTTTACAAGTAGTTTCCTACTTTGGCTGAAGAAAAAAGTACGAGTTCCTGCACTTAAACTCACCTTCAACCAATCAGATTTGCTTCTGCTGATAAAACCACTTGACCTTACATATTGAGCAAAGTTAACCATCTCTGAGTATGCCAAAACATTTGGGTTTTAAATATCTGGTAAGATAGAGTTTTATGACTTTGTTGGTAATATTAGGGGATATAATTTATAGTTTCCTCCTAGAATGTGAGAGACAGAACTACTGCCTACATAAATGCAAATGTGTTTCACAGTTTTAGTCTCATACCACACAATATCCTATTGTGGAAGAACATGTGTAATTTTATTAAGTTGGAAAGCAAAAAATCACTGAACCGAAAGATTTGCAGCATTTAGGCATTGCTTGACAGTAGCATATTTTTATCTTCCACAAGAATATGCATGAATGGTGAGATAAGGATGACTGTAACATTTTTAGAGTATTAATGCTGTGCAAAACTATGCGGTTTCGATACCTGTGTTCTGGTGATACAGTGAAATTAGTTGTATAGATTATATTTGTAAGAATTTTCCTGACAGCTGTGTAGAGGCACAGTAGATAAGAGAACAAATCTGACACATTGCTGGCATCATGGCACTGTGAGGAAGGAACTTTGGGTGCGTGCTTTGATATTAACTGGATTTTGTGTGCTAGAGCAAATACACAGCAGTTCCACAGGTTTTCCAACTCTGACTAACAGTAAAACTCCTGGTTGATGAAAGATCCTGATTTGTTTTATATGATTTGCTGAAGAAGCCCATATTTCACTAATGGATGGTCAGAGTGTATCACTACTTGTATCTTGATATTAATTAAACAGTTGGGATATTGTTAGTGAGTTTATCTTGCTGGAAGTTGTTGTTTCCATCAATGAAAAGATGAGGGATTGGGAAGCTCGTACTGTGACAAATAATGTGAATTATCATTCTTAGCTGCATGTCTGCAAAAAAGGAGGCTGGATCCTTGCTAACAAGGTAAACAAAATATATTTCGAGTGTTGTATTTTGAGTCCATGATATTTTTTTCCTCAATGTGAGATTGATTTCCTGGAAATCGTTCTGGAAACAGGACCTGGCAGCGACCAGCTGATAGTCATTCCTTAAATCGGAAAGTCTAAATGATTTCAAATTATGCTGTAGCTTTATGACCTTTGTTCAGAAAGTTACAATGAGGAAAAACTGAGTGTGTTTCATTAATAGCAAAGTGTGTTCACAGAAGGAAATGGCAATAGAGATCTGTGTAATAAAAAGGGACATTGAAAAACTAATTGTCCACGTGACACTAAGTGATTACTAAGAGCCTAAACGGGTCAAAATGAGAGTTTGAAATTTCTTACTTTGTAGAACAAAAGGAGGACAAGAAACATGTTGAAATGGAAGGAAGTGGAGGACAATGTGTTTATAATAGAGGATTTAAAGAAAAGAAAAATGTGATTTGTTTTGTTATCAGGAGTGCTGGCTGGAAATACCTCAGGGTCCTTATCTTTTGATATCCCATGATCCACAATTTAGATGTGGATACCTAAACCAAGCAGCATTTCCCCTAATCTGCTCCTGAAAGTTTTACTCGGAATCCAACTGTGCATTTTAAGGTGTCTGGCTTCCAGTGTGAGAATGTCATTAGAGAAACCAGATCCCTCCAGTTCTACTGCTGTACTGGTAGTGACCACTTGGAACCGAGGGTGTTTATATAGGCTTATATTCCATACTCTCTTCTACCTTCCTACATGTGATGAATATGCATATATATGTATATGTTCATGTGTTYGGTTTTGAAATCTGTTTCATTTTTCCAGTATTTCAGTATTTCATTTAACTCATTCTTTTTTYCCCCCTTTCTTTTCCTTTTTGATGTTAAACCATCTATTCTATTGCAGATGCTCTTCTCCATGTCTTGATCTTGACAACAGCAGGTGAACTTCTGCATAATTTCTTTCTTTAATACATTGCACTTCTCACCCACCCTATTTATCCTCCCCTCTTACCTCAATTCAGGACGCTTTAATGTTTTGGTAGTGCACATTAGCAAAGAGAAAAAATAAATCTAACAGTAATAGTTACATGAGGCCCTACTTCTCTTCTTAYCCAGTAAGTGTCCACTTTCTCCCATCTGCTTTGTTACAATAACAAAAGAATTCTGGACACTTAATAAGCCCCCTGCAGAAAGTCTTAGCAAAGCTCTTTTTACAATCCTAGATTGTTTTAACCATTGATGTATTTAACAATACCTTTTCTTTGTTGGTGGCATGGTTTAATATTAATATTTAAAGAAGGAATCCCCCCCACCCCGATAATTCAACACAAACCACTGTAATTAATATATTACTAGGTGGCTTTTTATCTCACTTGTCTGGATAAAGAATATTGCAGAGCCACTCTCCAAGTCACATTTTTCAAATTGTGCCACCATGTTTGAACTAGTAGAATAACAGCCCAGACTTAGTATATTTTATTTTTCATGCTAGACATATATTTTTGTGTGACAGTTAATCAATGCTTGAACCACTGGCACATTGCATTCTGCACA